TATAATTTTGTTTAGCTAACAACAGATGAATGATTTCTATTTTTAATATTTCAGAAATATACTTTAAAAATTTTTATCTTCTTTTAATAATAAGCTAATTCCCAAGTGTTATATATCCATCCATCCATTTTGATTTGATCAAAAGATAACGAATAGCTATGAAAGAAATAATGATAGTTTGCTTTATCCTACTTTGACAGTCAAATTTTTGAATGAAATGATTGCTATATGTTTTAGCTAAAGCTTATTAAACTTATGGATTCTTTTTTTTTAAAAACTAAAGAGGAAATTATTCCAAAATAAAATATAATTGAAATGCTACATATACTTCGATAAAGCTTCCTTTTTTTTTTTTCTCTCTCTCTCTCTCTCTCTGCCCTCCTCTCTTTTCTTTTTTTATATGATAATTTTTTTTTGAAATGATGGCGCAAAAAGATGAAACATGCGAATAAAAATGATTACCAATCATTCTTTCTCTCCTCTCTCTCTTTCCCTGCCTCTTTTTGTATGAAATACATTAATACACATCGATAGAGAATAAAATTCATACATTTTTTCTTATTTTTTAAAGAGGAAAAGAAAGAAAGAAAAATTGAAGGAAAAGGCACTTTGAAATATTCATTCCACGTCTTTCATCCATCGCTTTTACTTCCTTTCCATCCATCATTCCAATTTCTCCTCTATTTCTCATCCTTTTTTTTTTTTTTAAATATATTACTCGTAAAGTATTATTCAATCAAATCTAAAAATGCCTTTTATGCTTTTTATTAGAAGGATTTTCCTCTTTTTTCTCTCTCTGTCTTCCTCAACTTTTTGAATTTAAAATTAAATTAATGAGTTAATGAGAATAATAGTTCATATAAACATTAAACGTAAAAAATGATTCAATGTACGTTAAAATTTTTTTTATAAAAATTTCTATATGAATAGATATTATTGACATGATTTCAATAATGATAGTAATAATGATAAGTGGTGATAGGAATTCCTTTTTATCAAGACTAATAATGTGAATATAAAGTGACCTAAAAGTTTTTATATAAAAACTTTTTATAAATTACTTCATTCATTCTATTATTCTCAATTTTCTTAAATCATTAAAGTAATAGTCTAGCATTAAACTGTATAAAAAAAGAGACAAGAAGTTAAAGGGAAAGAAAATACATACACATTTTACTAAAATGGTTAAAAAATGATTTTATCACTTTTAGATAATTTAAATTATATATACGTAATGAAGCAAAGATCATTTATATCACTTACATATATTCATTTGATTGAAATGTAAATATGGCGAGAAAAGTTTAGTGATAATCATATCAAACTAATTACATATACAAGTACTTACACACATACATCTAGTAAAGCTTTGCTCCAAGTTATGTTTGAAGAGAAAAAAAAAAAACGAAAACGAATTATCCTTAAAGTTTTCGAGAATAACATTTTATCAGTTTGAACAGAAGAAAAAAATTAAAAAAGAAGAAACAAATTGAAGAATATTCGTTTGTTTTTGTTTTTTGTTAGTTTGATTTAATTTGTTTCTTTTGCATTTTTTATGTTAACAAAAAAAAAAAAAAATTTCATTTTACCAGTGAAATAAATGTGAAATTAGGTTGAGAACAACTGCTTTAAGGATTGTTAGATTCGGCATTTTATTATTAAGCAAATGCGTTTGATTACTTATAGAATGAAACGAATAGCTAACTAATTAACTATCGAATTGTTACTAATAAATTAATCCGATAAAATGGTAATAGCACTTGCAATCGTGGTGGTAATAGTAGTAGTGATAGTAAAATTAAATATTTGATAATATTCTGGTTAGGATGTAAAATTAAAATTAAATTTTAGCAATTCTTTTTTTTTCATTGTATTAAATTATTCATTCAGTATTTCTCAGATAAATTTATTTATTAATACCTTAAAAGCGATCATTTGAATATATCATCAAATGTTACAGTATGCCTAGTTGTCATCATCATTACTATCATTAACACCATTATTATCATCATTATCGTCAAAGCTTCTTTTACTTATTACAAGTAAAAAATGTGCAAAATTATTAGCTATGATTAATTTTATAATCAACTCTCGCAAATGTTTTAAATTGCTTAATAATCAAACTATTTCACTGAATTCATTCATTAATTGATTTAAGCTTATCTATCACCTTGCAAATATTTTATCATTTTGATAAAATAGTTTAAAATTGTAACATTAAATTTCAACAATATATGTTACTAATTGAATAGTGTAAAATGTGCAATATTTTATAATGTGTAAATTAATGTAATATATTTAATTACTTTATTTTTACAATTATTAGTTGTTTTGATTATAGCCATTATCAAATATTATATAAAAATGATCAGTGCTAATTAGATATTGATAATACTGTGATAGTAATTACTAATTGCGATATAATATTAATAAACTACTTAATTGAAAATTACTTTTTTATTCATTATTTTTGTAATAATTATTGCAATAATTACTATGCATACCTGAAAGGTTTATTTTGATTTCAATTTTAATTTTATTCTCTGTTGTGCTATTCTTTATGATTCGCTACGATATTTAATATTTTATTTACGAAACATGATTCGTGTTACCGTTGATGTGAAATTTTATAATTAAAGATGACACATGTATCATTTTGGTTTCATTGTTCCGATCGTTATAACATCCATGATGGTACTACTGGTAATTCTGATATTTTTCAATCATAAACGGTAATTTAGTTGATTTAATATCGCGGTAATATAAATGGCATTGATCATATTGATTCATCATGAATTTGGTTGATCATATTGATTGAGCATATTGATCATCATCAATTTGGATGGATATTTAATATTGCTGGATTTATCATTATTTTTAATAGTGGTAATATGTGCACCAATAATTATACTATAACTATTGTCAATTGCAATATGCGAATTATTGAATTTGAATTTTAATGTGAAACTGACATTCATTCTATAGTATTATTTGTTTTACTGCTATTAATTTATTATTATTAATCAAATTTAACAAATGAAATAAACGAAAACGAATAATGAAAGCAATTGTGGGAGAATATGCTAGCATTTCAAACTTGTTCGGTTTGTAGCAACAGTTTTAACTTATTTAGGTAATCATGATAATTTTATTAGAAATAAAATTGCACAAAAACCAATTTTGTTAAAAATAACTTTTTTTTTTTAAAGTGTTGCTTTTCACATTAAAATAATATCAATCGATTTAAAAAAGACACACATTGAATCATTTTAATCAGTTTACATTTCTTTGCTGTAAAATAAATATTCTGAAATATCGGAGTTTTACTTTCTTTTTTTTTTTTTAATCAATAAGCAAACAAACTGGGAAAAAGCTAATAGCTATTTGCTTATTTCAAATAGGAAAGCTTTGCAATTTAGCAAATTGTCACCAATCGCAGTGAAAAGTTAAAATTTTGACTCATTATTAAGCTAAAATTGAGACATTTATGACTATTATATTAAAATGTAAATGATATAATATAGAATAAAATGAAACTTTTGTGTTATTTAAATATGTTATGAAAATTTTTCATCATTTTTTTGTTCTTTAAAATAATTATCAAATATTTGAACAAATTTTGACAAAAGTCAACAATGTTTATATTTGAATCTAAATTTATAAATTCAGTAATATATTTAATGCTTTTAATTTATTATATTTATGTTTAATTCTTAAAATATAAAATTTTTTTTTTTTTCAGAACAATGTAATAAGCAAGAAGAAATTTTGTTCTGTCATTTTTATTGTTTATTTTTTTAAAAAGAAGTGAAACGAAGAAAGTAGTGAAAAAAAGAGAGGGAGAGAAAGATGGAGAGGAAAAGAGAGGGAAAGAAAGATTACTGTGCTTATTTTTATTACTCAATATAAAAGTAACAAATGAAGCATGAATAAGATTTCATGCTTTATGATTACTTTTTTGAGTAATACTTACAATAAAAACAACCTTTTTCGGTTCATTCTTTTGTCACAAATTTGGTAGTATAATTGGAAATGATCTGCGCAAATATAGCAGTGAAAAAAGCCGCGTTTCAAAAATAGGAATTAATTTTAAGAGGAATTATTAAGCGAGTTATCAATACGACATTGAATTTTGATGTTTAAATAAAAAGCCTAATAAGCAATAAACACTCATTCGTTCTTTATAATTTAAAAATTTTTTAACACCTTTTTCATCTGTTACAATTTTTTCATTTACTTTTTTCCTGGAACTTAATTTATATTTTAATTATTTGGTATTCATTTGCACTTACAAAATCATTGCTATTCTTTACCTTTGAATTTTCTCCCATATTTTATTTGTTTGTTTTTTCCGCAGCACACTTCTATCATTCAATAATACAAAATTTTTATTTTCATTTTATTTTTTATTTTCTTTTATTTGCTTGCTTATTCAATTACTTTTCTTATAGATTGATTAAGGAAAAAATGGAAAACTTTTCTCCTTCTTTTTGTTCATTTAATTAAAAATGCTTATCCATTTTGATTTGAATAAATATTGTTATTATAAATTTATCACAAACAATAATGTTTACTCTAGTTTTAATCAAACATTTATTAAAAAAGCTTACCATAGTGAATATTATTGATTTATTCAATATTTTTTTTCTTTTTTATACAGTTAATTGCTATGGATCTACTCATCTTATCTTACTTTATAGTATCATTTCTTACCAATATGTAATTATTATTTATTGTGCCCTGTATATACATATGTAGGTATATAAAATATGATTTATTTCATATCCGTTTTGAAATTTTTATCAGATTTTTTTACAGAATGTTTTTTTTTTCTTTTTTTTTTTTAAATCATTTATAAATTTTACAGACTGTTAATAAATATTTGTTTAATAATTATGGCATTTATGGAATTGATACCTGGTTAAAGGGAAAAGTATATATCAAATTGTATGAAAAAAGCTATGGAATTGAATTTATTATTATTTATTAGCTATTATGTGATGTTATTACAGGTTAGTGATTTTTTTTTCATTTATTTTATTTCAGAATTTTAGCAAAATTCCTGTTTAATAATTGTAACTCATCTTAATTAAATTAGACTTTCATTTCTAAAAATTTTTTTATCGTTTTATTTTTGGTTAAAATAATTGTCGCAGTAATAACAATAAATCTCGCAAATATAAGATTCATCATTTAATATCAAAATGATTTTTCAATAGACATATATTAGACTACGCAAAAATATTTCTATCATAGAAATAAATTCCGATTTTTATTACTTCATGATAATTAAATAATTGAAGTTTTAAAAAAAAATTTTTTTTTCTTAGCCATGAAAACAATGAAAAATTTTCAATTATTTAACTTTCTTTCTATGATATTTAAATTGAGCTTTTTTTAAAATATTGCAATTCCCATTTACAATTTCTATTCATTTTTCTCTCAAACTATGCTTTATCCATTAATCAATTTTATTAGCTTTTAGAGTAAAAATGTAGATTATTTAGTGTTTGCATCAAAACAATTGTTTTTATTCCAAATAAAATCTAATCTAATTATCAAAATTTAAAATTATTTTGTCATGCCTCTTACATAAGCTATTAATCTAGTAATGTTAGAATTTATTAGAAAATTAAGACAAAAAAAAACTTTCAGAGTTATGCATTATCCAACAAAATATTGAAAAGACATGAAATTTCAAGCCTTTCAAATACTGCCAAATTTAATGTTAGTTTTTATTTTTAAAACTTAACGTATTTTTGATTGCAAAACTTTGCTTTTTCCTCTCTTAGCATTCACATATATTTTATTTGTAAAGTCTAAATGTTATTAATAAAAGTGAAAATTTGTATTTAATTCATTTTACCAATTTAATCAGTAGTTATTTTTTTTGATGTGTGTGTAAAACTTAATAGTATTAAGATTTATAATAAATTTTTCAGTAAGATTGTTTCTTGTAATTTTAATTTTACAAGTATTTGATTATGTTAATTTTGAATCAAATTTTCTTTTTTCTTAAAGGAAGTTGAAGGTAGCGGTATTCCACCACTATTGTCCGATAGGCAAAAAACTGGAGGTGCAAGTGTGGATGTAGAATGGGATGGATCAGGTATCAGTCCGGATGATGAGGATGGCGATGTTGTGGAAGGTTCCGGAGCTCAGATTGGTTAGAATTTTCGTTTTTTTTTTTTTAAGGTATTATTTCAAACAATAAAATGAAATATTATTTCAATAATAAAATAAATTTTTTTTTTTCATAATTAATAAAATCTTTGCTTATCTTAAAGTTTGACGAAATTATCCTTCTTTTTATCCTAAATTGAACTCATCGGATTAAAAAATAAGTCACTGACAGTTAATTTGCATATTACATCTTTTTTTTTCTATACAATTTTTCTTTCATTTTTTTTAATTTCACTTACTACAGTAATTGTATTCTAAACTAATTAACTGTTTAATTAATTTCTATTTATACTAATAATATCATTTATTGTTAATTTATTCATTTCTATTTCTTTTAATCCAATAATTAATTCACAAAATAATAAGTGAAAATATAAATTTTTCATCCAAATATAAACGAAATTATTGTTTTTATCTGTTTATACTATTTTCTTTCACTTCTCCGTTAATTTTATCAATTTTTTTCAACAACAATAATACTGTTTGTATAACCTATGCAATTAAAAAAAGACGGTCGATTATTTGATTATTTTTTATGAATGAAAAGAAAAGAGGAAAAATAATTCAAAAGTGAATGTGATGGATTCAAAAAGGACAGTGAAACAGATCGTTCATTTTATTCTTCTAATTTTTGTTTTCATTTTCATCTTTTCCTTTTTTTTCTTCCATTGATCCTTTTATGTGCCATCCTTTTATTTTTATTTTATATCTAATGCATTTTGATTAATGATAAAAATCTCATAAAGAGAAAGAACGAAAGGGGGAGAGAGGGAAGAAAGAAAGAGGGATGCGCAAATTGTCTGTATTATTTCCCTCCAAAATTTTTATCTTAATTATTTTATTATAGATAAAAGGAAAACATGCTCTTTCTCTTTTTGATCTTTGAATTAATTGTTCTTTTCTTATCGTATGATGTAAATTAAAATGTAGGAAAACTTTTTGAGAAAGATTTGTCAAGATAGGAACAATTCATTTAAAATTTCAAAATTCCAGCTTTTAGATTCATTTTGTTGTTTTGCATTTAAATTATTTAGTCAGCATATTAAAAAAGATTTAGTTTTGATATGAGATTATAAAATCAAAAATATTCTACATCTAAATGTTTCTATCATAAATAAAAATAGAATATGAATAAATATAAAAAAGCAAAAATAAAAGATTCTTATTTATTCTCTTATTTGTTTAAATTAATGCATTTTTTTTTATTTTTTTTGTTTCACAACTCAAATAAAATGAGTTAAAAAAATGTCTTAATAAATTTAAAATTGAAATGTAATACTTTTATGTACAAATTTGAGTACTTTACAGATGAAGATGACTCGGATGAAAATCTACGAGTAACTACTAGTGCTACATCAATTTATTCATTAAATACCACTCTAACAACTGCGCAATATTCTTCGGTAAATCAATATTCATTTATATATATATATATATATATATATATATTAAAAAGCAATTTTTATATCATTTTCAAAAAAATTTAATTTTAAATTTAAACTTTCGAATCTTTAGCTTAATTCAAATTTTTAAAGACAATTTCTAAACTTCAAATAACAATACTTCAATTAATGATTAAAAAATATATTAATTTGTGTTAATTTTTATAGTTTGACATTCATGAACTGGAAGTTGAATCAGATGAAGAGGATGTAGCAATTGAAGAGATACCAGCAACCACTGTAACAGTACAGTCTAGGATGACAACAACCAAAAGGCCATCATTACAACCATTAACGCCATTAATCACCAAACAAACAGCGCCACCAACTGTATTCGATGACAAACAGAACATTCCATTTGATGCTTTGCTCAAACCTGGTGTCCTAGCTGGTAAGTTTATACTGTTGATAATTAAAAAAATAATAGAATAAGGAAATTAATTAATTACAATAATTTTTTTACAGCATCTCGTAATATATTTAATTTTTTTTTTATTCAACTTAATCAAATATATCATTATTTTTCTTTAAATCATCATCTCCTGATTAATGATATTTGTTTGCTTTGTAGCTGAAGTAAACAATCCCAAAATATTCAATTAATAGTCTTAAAATACTAATTATTAGTCTCGTAATTACTAGACTTTTTGATGGGTCCTTAATTAGGCAGAAATTAAAATTAGATAGCATACATATATAATATGAATGTATGTGCATGTATGTATGTATGTGTGTATGTGTGTGTGTGCATGTGTGTGTTAGAGTTTATCTATTTGTCGCTTTGCATATTCGCTATCCGTTATAAGTTGACAAGTTGTGTAGGGAATCGGGTCAACTCCCTATAATGATAGATGAATAGATAAATAGAATTGATTGGTTTATGTTGAAGTGTTTTCGGAAATGCAAAAGAAAGAGTAGAGAGAGAGAGAGAGAAAAATGAAATTAAATGAAAAAATGTCCGAAATGAGAAAAGTGATATTTAGAATGGTTTGATGGGTTATACACTGTAAAGACGGTTACAACAATTTATTTTGATTGTGACATTATTACTTTACGTTGTATAAATGAATAAACGAATTATAATAATATCAAAAAAAGGAGAAAGTAAGCTAATCTATGACTGTTAAAGTACATAGTTGAATATTCCCTCCCTCTCTCTTTCTCTATCATTTACAAAAGTACTTGTATGATAAAGAGAGAAGAGGGAAAAATTATTAATAATAATAAAATTATTAATTTGTCTCAGAATAACTTATAATAGAAGAAAAGGAGAAAAGAATTTACAAATAATAGCAAGAAAAAAAAATTTCTTTTCAAAAAAATTCAAATTAATCTAAATTATCTCTTTCATTATGTTTTGACAAAAATTACGATTATTTACTCAAATGATGTTTCGATAAATTAAATAATTCCACTTCAAGCTAGACTTCATTGAAATTCATTTTAAATTCTTAACTAAATTATTAAGTTTATTTTCAACAAAAAAAGGAAAGAAAAATGGATCAAAGAGAAAAGTATTATTTAGTTTATTTTGTTCAAACCCCATAAATAAGCAAATACTTTATTGGAAGAGATTATTCCTGGATGTTATTTTATTAGAGGATAAATAAATTGTCTTTTCAACAAAAAAAAAAGAAAAGAAATGAGAAAAAAATTTTTCATTCTCACATTTCTCATGAAGTATACTGTAAAAGGAATCTTTCAATCAGAGAAAGAACAGAGAGAGAGAGAGAGAGAGAGAGAGAGGAAAAAAATGTTGTAAAGCGGAAAAAAGAAAGATTAGGAAAAAAAAAGATGATGGGAAAAAGAAAATACCCGGAAAGATCACATTTTGATAGTATCAAAAAGAAAAAAAAAATGAGAGTAGCAGTTAAAAGGTTATTGTAAAGAAAGATAATAAAAAAAGAAAAAAAAAAAATTGTAAAATCACTGATTGTTTGTATTGAACTTGTAATTGCTTTTCTATAAATGATATACATTCTTTTGACGGTGATGACCTGTTGTTATAACTGATGACCTTGATACCAATTTAACCATTAATCCTTATTTGATATTAAATATCCAAAATGGAAGAGGCATATAAGGTCAACTGTTTATGATTGATCAGTGACTGATGACACATTAATAATGCTAATTTTATTTTCAATTAAGTGCTATGCACATATATATATATATATATATATATAATATTTTTCATTTTCAAATTATTCTTACTTTTTGATTTATTTTATTTTTGATTTTATTTTATATTTTACGATCAGATTGATCGATTAAATTGATTATTGTTTTGATAATTATTCTTTTTTAATAAATTTATCAAAATCTATTTATTTTATATTATCATTTTAACTCGCAAGGGATGCTTGCCAAATTTATTTAATTTTTTACAGAAAAGAAGGATTTAATTATAAATTGTAATTATTAATTCTTTATCTTAAATTATTCACATAAATAGTTCATATATTAGATGCTATACCTTTTCATCTTCAAATGATGATAACAGGAAAATGAAAATGAATTCATTTGGAAATGACTGAATTGGATAATGAAAATGAAAGAAGAAAAAGGATTACTCTGACTACTCAATGACCATAAAAAATCTTTCCGTCCGCTCTTTTCTTTTTTTTTCCTTTCTTTAACAAAATTATGTGACATATCAAATCAGAAAAGGAAGCGCTTTACAACTTTCATCAATATGTCTTGAAAGTGACACATTTCCGATAAGAAATACAGAGAATTACATTTACAATTGCATTTTCTATGTTATGAAGAAAAAAAATGCATGAAAATGATATTGTAGAGATAATTTATGATTTATCACGATTTGGTTGCCGAATTAGAGTTATCAATTATTGCATTACGTAAGATATTGAAAGAAATGGCGAATTTTGAGTTTAGTTTTGAAGAATAATTCAAATATTTTAAATGATGATAACGGATTATCTGTATTGCAGTTGAGAGAATTATAAATACCAAATTCAGTTTTGGTATTTATAAGTGATTAAACAAAAAAAGAGAAAAAAGAAGCTGAATATAATGAAAGGATTAACCTAAGATTATTGAAAAGTGTTCTTTTTTTTGAAGGGTTTTTTATATGAATGCCAAATAATTTAGAGATGAATATCGAAAAGCTTTTTTTTTTTTTAATTACATAACTAACTACGAAGAGTATGATTGTTATAATAATGTTTAATTACTAGTCAGTTATTGTTTTTTTTTTTTGTTATTAATAAATTAATTACAGTTTAGCACATATGAATTAAAAAAATAAGAGAGATGTGGGCCGTTTGATTTGTATACATATATGTGAGAGAGGCAGGAGAGGGAGAAAGAAAGAGAGAGATAAGGTTACATCTACTTCTAATTTTTTAATAAGAATTACTTTATAATTTTGCTTAGCAAATAAATTACTAAATGAAAAAAGATTAATGCTATCGTATTTATTATTGATTATAATTACCCGTAGCTTTCTATTTATTATTGATTTTATTTACTCTTAACTTCCTGTTTATTATTGATATTATTTGCCTTTAGCTTTGTATTTATTATTGATTTTTATTCAACGGAAATGAATAGACCCATTTATTATTACTATAGTTAGGAAATTGTTGATGATGGGAAGTGGTCATTTTAAAAGATGAAGGAAAACGAAAAGGATGAAGTGGAAAGCCTAATGATGGAATTGGTCCATAGGGGGGAGGGGAGGGGGAGAGAGAGTGAAGGCAAATCATTGAAGAAAGGGTTGAATGAAGGCTGTAAATTTTAGTTGTGATTCCTATTTGAAGATAAAATATAGGTAGAAATAAGGGAATGTATCATTAGTAATAATAATAAGAAAATTTAATCAATAATTATTTTTTTTTGAAAATAAAACCAAAGAAAATGTATAAAATAGAAATATATATAATATTCAAATTAACATACTAATTACAATGTATAATTTATAAGCTTGTAGTAGCAGATATATTTAGTATATTAAAAAGTTTGATAATAATATTTAAAAATAATTAATTGAAATAATTCATTTCATGTTAATTATTATAGATATAATGCTGAATAATTTTGAATAATTTTAAAAGCTAGAAAAAAGAAAAAAGGGAGGAAATTTATTCGTAATTATTTTTTTCAATATAAAGAAAATAATTTTTTTTTTATTTTTAGCATTAATTGGTGGTATTGTTGTTGGTATTTTGGCAACAATTTTATTGGTAATGTTTGTTGTTTATCGGATGCGAAAGAAGGATGAAGGTAGCTATGCATTGGATGAACCAAAACAACCACCGCAATATTCATATGCTTATCAAAAAGCACCAACAAAAGAATTTTATGCCTAATTACTATTACTTATTAAAAAAAGTTAATGTTTCTTTTTTTCTCCGTTTTAAAAGTTAAAATTCATTCGGTAATGCTCGAAAATAATATAAACTCTTTCATATATTTCATTAAAACACTATCATTGTATATATTGCATTCTTGAAGATGGAAAAATAAAAATTACTTCATATTCAATAAAAAAAAAAAATAGGGATGGCGCTTTCGCCTTAATCTTTTTCTTTTTTTAATAACTTAAAAATTTTTTTAGATTAATTAACATTTATGCTTAATATTAAGTTATGACTCTAATTTTATTAATTTCTCCTTTTTTTCTTCTCAGATTATTATTTCTACTTATAAGCATCATGAATAGCGAACAACTCGTAATATTCAGTTATATTTTGCATGATTTATCAACTGAATTAGTAAATTCTCTACTTAACAAAACTTCCTCTTTCTTTTTTTTAAATTAAGAAAGGTAAATAAAGTAAAAAATAAAAAGGTTTTAGATTTTTTTTTCAAAATGAATCCATAAGAATGCAATGATATTTGTTGATTTGCTTGTTTATTTCTTTCCTTCTAATTTTATTAAAAATTTAAATCAGTCATAACTGACGTGTACCTCATATAATACTCGTTTATCTTTTAAAATGATATCATTCATTGCTATTTACCCATTTTTTTTTTTTTTTTTTTTTTTGTTGTTGTTAAATTTCTTTGAAAGTTGATAGTTGATTATGATTTTGTTAATTGATAATTAATTTTAAATTTTGCTACCAAATATAAAATGAATGAAAAAAAAAAAAACGGGTGAATTTTCTAAAGAGCCATAATCAAAATGATTATGTGAAATGATTACAGCATTGCGAATATATATGCCTGTGTGATAAAAAATCATATAATATTGGTTTTAAATTAATGAAATATCTATAAAATAATAATAATTTAAATGACATTATGAATATTACTCTTCCTATATAAATATGATAAAATATGAAAGTAAATTTTAAATTACTTTGATAGAATTACTTTATATCACTTTTATTCCGTCCAATATCTCACGCTGCCGGTATGTTATCACTCCTATTAAGTATAAACATTAGAAATTTAAAAGTATTTATAGAAAATGGAAAATGAGTGAGAATTGAATTTAAGAATAAAAATTTTTTTTAGGCTTTTTTTAAAATATAATCCTATAATGAATATTTAACAAAAAAATTTTTTAAATTAAATATCATTTTAAAATAGGTGATTGTTAAAAATGCATGATTATAATGATCAGGATATAATATTCATCAAATCTCACCATCACCATCATCATCATCATCGTCATTATCATTCATTACGTCACTATCATATACTGCCGTTATCATTATTATCATTCTCATTCATCGTCATGACCGTCGTTTTAGTAATTACATTTGTAAATATCATGAAATTTGTTTTTATCATTATAATGATAAGATTATTTCCTCATTTTTCTTTCTTTTTTTCATTTATGTGTATATATATAGTATGTATACGTAAGAAAAAATTTTTTAAATTGATATGTATGCAAATAATACAATAAGGTTTTATAAAATTGTTATGCAGAAATAACGTGGAGAAGCGTCACACGTGCGCGTTACTTGAATTTAAATTTTTGTTTTTTTTGTTTTGTTTTTTCTTCTTAACTGAAACATTATAAACTAACAATCTAAATGATATCTGTTAGTAAAAAATTGTTATTTAACAATGTGGTACATGCATGATAATAAATTATTAATTTAAAATATTTGCAACAAAATGGAATAACATAGATTCAAATAAATGAATGATGAAATAAATTTCACTGAAAACATTATTGATAAAAGTAGAACTGTTCTTCCAATTAAATATTTCATTCAATTTGAATATTAGTGTGAACATTTTAATTGTTTACATGGTAGATAATTGTTGACGATGATTTGTGACTACTACAAATAATAATAATCATAATAATAATAGTAATAGTAATAATAGTAATGATAATAATATAATAATATAATAATAATAATAATAATAATAATAATAATAATAATAATAATAATAATTAATAATAATAATAATAATAATAATAATAATAATAATAATAATAATATAATAATAATAATAATAATAATAATAATAATAATAATAATAATAATAATAATAATAATAAATAATAATAATAATAATAATAATAATAATAATAATAATAATAATAATAATAATAATAATAATAATAATAATAATAATAATAATAATAATAATAATAATAATAATAATAATAATAATAATAATAATAATAATAATAATAATAATAATAATAATAATAATAAATAATAATAATAATAATAATAATAATAATAATAATAATAATAATAATAATAATAATAATAATAATAATAATAATAATAATAATAATAATAATAATAATAATAATAATAATAATAATAATAATAATAATAATAATAATAATAAAATAATAATAATAATAATAATAATAATAATAATAATAATAATAATAATAATAATAATAATAATAATAATAATAATAATAATAATAATAATAAAATAATAATAATAATAATAATAATAATAATAATAATAATAATAATAATAATAATAATAATAATAATAATAATAATAATAATAATAATAATAATAATAATAATAATAATAATAATAATAATAATAATAATAATAATAATAATAATAATAATAATAATAATAATAATAATAATAATAATAATAATAATATAATAATAATAATAATAATAATAATAATAATAATAATAATAATAATAATAATAATAATAATAATAATAATAATAATAATAATAATAATAATAATAATAATAATAATAATAATAATAATAATAATAATAATAATAATAATAATAATAATAATAATAATAATAATAATAATAATAATAATAATAATAATAATAATAATAATAATAATAATAATAATAATAATAATAATAATAAAATAATAATAATAATAATAATAATAATAATAATAAAATAATAATAATAATAAATAATAATAATAATAATAATAATAATAATAATAATAATAATAATAATAATAATAATAATAATAATAAAAGTGTTCAGTGAATAGCAATAAAAGGAAATGAACTAAACTACCTTCCATTATCATATATTGACAAGTTACGTGGACAGAAACAGTTAAAGGCATATATACGAATTATAAGAAAAGCAGAAGAAATAATGGGAAGATGTAAAATTGTTGTTATAAAGGGAACACTGCATGCTTTTCTTCTAATTTCTTTTTTTTCATTTATGATATTTTGAACATTTTCAAAAACAAATGAATGTTGCAGCGATCAAATTTATGACAAGAATTGAAGAAGTATGAAAATTAGATGTTTATTTATGTTTGATTTAAATTTCAATTCATGCTTCGCTACTGTGAGCACTAAGTGATTATTGTAATAAATACAATTTGTGAAAAATTATTTTTTTAAGAGATCAAGTTAAATTAAGATTTAATCAAAAGATTAAAGAATGAAATTTAATTCTGCTGCTATAATTATTTACATTAAAATGTTTTATCTCTATGTGATTATTATTACTATTATTATTATAATGGTATTAGTATTGCTATTGCTATTATTATTATTGATTATTATGATTGTAATTGTCATTAATTTTTGCAAAATATTTCTTTCCAGTGTTTCTTTTTTTTTGTTTTATTAGCATTGTTTTGTGAAATTTTTAGCATTGTTTTGAGTATTATGAATTGATTTATTTGTAAATGAAATTGAATAATCCTCCTAATTTTAAACCCATCAGAATTGATAGAATTTAATATATATTATATATATTATTGTATATTTTGTTAGAACAGATATTCAAAAAAAAAAAAAAAAAAAAAAAAGAAATGGAAAATAGAATTATCATTCCGATGCTGTCAAATAATCAAAATACTTCAAGAAATCCTTCCATATTATGGGAAAAATCATAACAAACGATCATTGATACTCGTCTTTTTTTCACAAGAAATTTCGATTTAAAAAAAAAGAAATTCTTTACAAAAGTCGAAGTCAAAAATAATTCAATGGTTATTTGTCCTTGGACCTAAAATAATTTAAACCTTATCTTACTCTATCATATTTCCTGGGGAAAAATAGCATATAAAATAGTGCCTAACTTTAGTGAATGAATTAATTTGTTAATTTCTATTTGTTTATTATTAGTGATTTAGTGTGTTAAATTCATATTTATGTTTTTCTTTTTCTTGTTATTTGCTTTATTTCCGATATATTTTTTTACTTTTATTTTTTGTTATTCTCTTCTTCAATTGCTTTCTTTTGATGATATCTTATGTATTTTGATTAATTAATAATTGAATCCTGATCAAATAATGAGGAGAGAAAAGAAAGAGAATAAAATTTAAAAAAAGATTTTTTTGTATACTAATAATCATAGTGAAATTTTTATAACACTTTACTTGCATATCGGTAAAAGCCGAGCATTTCTATCTTAATTTTAATACTTATTTAAAATTTAACGTCAGCCTCTACCTCTCCTAAATCAAATTTTGACGGTTCAGTTATTAAAACGAAACTTTGACTAGGAAATGATTGAAAATTTTTGAAAAAAATAAATATTCTGTCTTAAATCAATTAGGAGAATACCGCAATTTCATGATAAAATATATTAAAAGTTTATGGTAATAAATTCATCATCCATCTTTTTAAATGTGTATTGTCAAAAATTTGATTTAAAATAATCGACAATAATTTACATCTAAAAATTAACAGGTATGAAAGAATGTACATTTATGTGGTTATTTCAACATATTCTAAGATATAACTTCATTGTTTGTTTGTTTTTTTTGCACGTTTTATAAAACGTTAAAATTTTGGTTTTAATTTTTGTCACTCAAATTTCCATTATGACTTTACATGTTAAACAAAACAAAACATAGAACATTCAATAATTTTACAAAATTGTCAAAATCATTTTTTTAGATTAATGTTAAAAATATAATTTGTGTTGTAATAATGAGTATTATATATATATAAGTTACATATTGATATACGTGAAATACGTGAAAATGTTGAAAAACATACGTCAACATAGTTTGTTAGCACTGTCACTCGACATTTGAATATTCTCTGTTCTTCATAGTCTATTTTCACAATTTAAATTTAATCATTTTTCTTCCTTCTTCCTCCTCTCTCTCTCTCTTTCCTTCTCTCTCTTTCTTGTTTAATAGCATTTTTACACTTATAGAATGAGGAAGAAAAATGAAGAAGCATTCTTCATTTTCTCTTTGCTTACTTATACATATCTTCGAGATCTCACTGTTTTGTTTATTTAAGCTATTGCTAACTAATCGATATCTCTCGGATACATCGCGAATTCTCCGCGATAATATTAGAATTTCCCTTTCTTTATTAAATTCAAACTACGCATTGTGCAGTCATCCTTCCATTGTTTCACATCAATCGATAGCATATGATGTTTATTATTTAAAATGTGATTCTGGTCGTAAAACATGTCCGTTGAACATGTGTGCTGGCAAAATTCGTATTATAATTGTGTTATCTTATGTAAAATTTGCTTCCTGAATCTATATTGAATGCAATATTTCAGTAATTTCCCGAATTGTCTATACATTGTAAAACAGTTTCGATCAAAATTTTATAAATGAATCATTTAAATTGTAGATATTTTGTTATGAATGTATGTAAAGTTCATTTTAAGTATTAATATCATATCAATGCTTGTATTAGCTTTTCAGTAAACAAATTCTAACATTATTCTTTTGACTTATTGTGATCGCCTATCCTTTTGTTGTCATTAAAATATTGTTTCTGATATATTTTTACACTTCTTTATTTATAAATGATTTAAATGGTTAAAAATTCAGTTTTATTATAATTTATAGATAGAAATAACAACAAAAAAAGAAAAATGAATTCTGGTAGCATTGAAAGCGCTGAAAATTTAAAAGATAGTGGTAATATTGCCTTTAAAAATGGTCAATTGAATGAAGCAATTGATTTTTATACGGAAGCATTAGCATTAAATCCGGAGAATGCGTTAAAATCAACAATATATCGAAATCGAGCATTGGTACGTTTACGACTGGATGATTTTGAAGGTTGTGAAATGGATGCTACTCAAGGTAATTAATTACATTATTATTACATTAACATTGATTACTTAACTTTGTAGTAATTTTAGGAGAGCTTATTTTACTTTTGTATGATTGTTTCTCTAAAGAACTGAACTTCTTTCTTTGTTTAGTAAAATTAATATTTCTTTTGCTTTTTTTTTTTCTTTTTTTTTTTTTTACTCCTTTGTAGCATTGGAATTTGATGGCGCTGATGCTAAAGCGCTTTTTAGACGAGCATTGGCACGTGAAAAGATGGAAAATTATAGTAGTGCTGTTATGGATGCTCGAAACGCACTAAGACTGGAACCTAAAAATAGGCAGTTATTTTATTTCACTTAGATTACGGAGGAAAATTTAAGTTAAACAGTGATAAATGCATGTTTGTAATTATGTGAATTCATTAGACTGAGATTTCTGTGAACAGATTAGTCAGAAAAAATAAGTTTAAATATTCATTGATGAAGAATTGGTAGTATATAGTTTATATTAAGAAATACGTTCTAAATATGTTTTTGTAGCAGTGAAAAGATAATAAGATGAAACACTGAGTGAATATGTACAAATTTTGTGCATCTTTTTAAAATTATCAAATATGTGTTTATCAGATTGTGAAAAATTAATTAAAAATCATTTCTTCATTTTAAGTAGTATTATTGAAATGCTCCAACGAATATTGAAATTGAGTGAAGAGAAGAAAAAAACTGCAATGAGTATGGAAAATCGGGTGGATAATATGAATAAGCTTGCATTTAGCGATGGCAATTTGGAACAGAGAGTCATTGTACGTGTTCATGTTTCTTTTTTATTCATTATTGATAGTTTATGGGTAATTTTACAACAAATCGAAATCTAACTTAAAGATTGTAGATGAGTTTTAACCTTTGAAAATAATCTAATCAGAGGATTAGTTTGGAAAAATCTTGAATAACAAATAAAATGCTAAAAGTGATAAAGTCATTTTTAAGTATTAAAATAATTATGTTGAAGGCACTGAATAATTTATTGGTCTTATCACGAGAATCTGAAACAGCTGCATCATGTGTTTGGAATGGTGGTAAAATTGTAGAAGCATTAGTGAAAATAATTGATGGCAATTTGACAAATGAAAGTATTGTGGTAGCAGCAGCTCGAGTTCTCGACGAATTGATGAAAAATAGCAATCGAGTATTCTCTTTTATATATTCACTGTTTTCTCAAAAGTTTTAAAATTTTTGATGTGCTTACTTCTGAAAGATTTTAAGTGAGTTAATGCATAATAATTCAGTACATCTTTTTTTTTTCTTGATGTGAGATGCAACAAATTATTGCTAGCTATTTCTGGATATACATTCACACTGAATTATTTATTTAAAGCTAAGATTTTAATAATTCCGATTTGTTACCGGATAGTTTTGCTTTAAAATTTCTGCTGTTTAAGGCAATATTTCTGGTGGGCAATTTGGGAATACGTCGAATATGTCGATTAATGGAAAAATGTGTCTACCCGCATTATCTTGATGCATGTGGTATTATCATTCAGCGTTTGTTCAATGCATTAGCTAAAATGAATCAAGAAAAAGAAATAAAGCCAGATCCTGAAATTTGTGAAGGTAAATTTAACAACTTATGAACTTATTTCTAAAGACTACTATTTCACTAGTAATTTTTCATTTACTCACCTTAAGTTTACATCTATTGGTATATTAACTGTTGACTTTTGATATCCTTTTAAATTCAAACTTTTTTAGCTAACAAAATATACATAGTACGATTAATTTTGGAACTGGAAGAAATGCTAACTGATGTAAATGTAGCAGCACCACCACGTGATACGACTATTGATCTTTTGCTGAAAAATTTGATGCATATGGATGGCGGATTACCGCGCGGTTGGAGTTGGAGATTTGTCGAAGATAGAGGTTAATTTCTGGACCGTTGTGCTATTCAGTTATGAAATAATTCGGCAGCTGTATTGTGAATCATTGTTTAAAAGTGATCGCAGTATGTATGTAAAGTTTCTTTGTCAACTTATTTTAATATCAGAGAATTATGTACTTTGAAAGATAGTATTGACCAGATGATCCACTGATATTGATTTCAATAGGAAATAAGAATCACTAAGAAAGCATTAGAAAAATTCGTTTAAATTCATTTTAAATCAATATAAAGTGACCTTTTGCAACTCTCTATATATCTTTTAATTTGATATTCATAAAAAATGAAAAATTATGAAGTAATTTATAAGAATAAGGTTAATTTTCATATCTGTAATAATGAATTTAACAGGTCTTCTCAAATTGATGCATGTTTCAACCCAAATACCGGAACAGTGTGAATATCCGGTTACTGCTGAAACACGGCAGCATTTGGCGGTTTGTTTGGCACGACTATATGATGATATGGTTTTTGACACACGACGACAAATTTTCAAAGAGAAGGTTGATACTTTCTTTAAGTAAGTAATTAAATCGTATTGCATCATTTTCTCTTACGTCTCTTACCTAAAGATCACATGAAACATAAAGGCAAGATTTTATGAAACGTAAAGTGTGAACATAGCTAACTCATTAGAACGGAAATTATTTGTAGTAAAATTTTAATTATATTTTTGCTTTATATCGACCCAGAATTTTAATAATTGACGTTTTTTTGTTTTATTATAAATAGTGGACATGCTATTTGTGTACTTTCCATCATTTTTCAGCAATCTACTTAATGATATCGCTGAACCCAAGGTGAAAGTGAAATTGGCTTGTTTGTTAATCACCTTATTGCAGGTAGTTTTTGTGCTTTTTAAAAAACTAATGTAGTTATTTTGGCATTTAAATTCTTCACTTTTCAATACTTCTTATACTTCAACACTTACTTTTTAGTTATTGTTGCTATTATTTTATAACTTATTCTTATGTTATATGCATATGAATAAGTTATAAAATATGTTCCTTATTTCTTCAAATCAAAGTTTTTCGTGGTAAAATTAACATCATTTTTCAGGGTCCTGTCGACGTTGGTATAAATTTGGTAACAAATGATCGGGTCACAGCGCTGATGCTCGAAATGGCCAGTAGTAATGATAGTTTACAGCAAAGTACGGCAGCTGAGTTAATTGTTCATACTGTTAGCAAACATGAACGAGCAACGACCATTTTGAAGGTTTAATTCATATTCTTCGACTAAAATCAGGAAAACTGGATAAAGAGGCATCACTGCAGATATGTATTATCATTTGGCGCTTCAAGATATTTTAAGAGATACCACCATATTTTTTGAAATGAAATAGAGGAAAAATTATTTTAAAAAAAAGCAATAATTATTTAATATCAATTTTCAGTTCGGTATCCCAGTTTTACGGAAGTTGTACGATTCAAAGGATGATATGGTAAAAGTAAGAGCTTTAGTGGGTTTATGCAAGTGCGCCTCAGCTGGAGGTGACGATACAGCTAAACAAACAATGCAAGAGGGTAGCGCATTGAAACTTGCTCAAACATGCAAGAAATTTCTATTGGATGTTAATCGTTATTCGGTAGAAGTACGAAGGTGAGAAGAAAATTTAGTTTGAAATCTTTTGTAAACATAATGAGAATAATCAGGGAAAATCTTTTCTGATTCTATGGCAGCTAATAAAAATTTCTAATGTAATACTGTATAAAAATGTTAAAGACGAAAAATATTTGTAAAAACATCATCATGATTTTTATAAATTGTTTTAGATTTGCATGTGAAGGGTTGTCATATTTGACACTGGATGCTGATGTAAAAGAATGGGTTGCTGAAGATCCTTTACTTCTTCAGGCATTACTTTCTCTTTCAAAAGTACGAGTTTTGTGTTACAGAGTTATAAAAAAGATGTGATTGTCTAATGGAAATGAATTTTCTCAGCTAGATGTAATGGAAACTTTTTAATGATATTTGAGAATTATTTTAAGCATTTTGCAAATATTTACAGCAATCACTGCATTTGTATCTTAATTGCAGTGTTTTTTTTTTGTTTATTCCAGAGTGCCGGTTCTCTTTGTGTTTATGCTTTGGCTAGTATTTATGTGAATTTGACGAATTCTTACGATAAACCAAAAATTGATGAAGAACTTGTTAAGCTTGCACAGGTCAGATAATCCTATGGAATTTAATTTCATCTGGTTTTCTTAAAATATTAGTGGGGACATGCTGATCTTATGGACATTAAGTTCTTAATTGACGAAATTGGTTACAGTAACAATTTCTTTTTTATTATTAATAATGTATTATAGTATTGTTCATAATTCATTTAAGAATTGGTTTTTTTTTTTAATGAGACTTATACGAATTATGGTTCCTTAATTTCCAGTGTTTAAAAAAGTAAACAATAAATTTGTTTCTGTCAAAAAAAAAAAAAAAAAAAAAAAGAACTTTTACAAAGAGATGAAAAATAGACTGCGTCAACTGAAATGAACAAACAGACGAAAATAACCAAATAAAATAAAATTTCAGTTTGCTAAACATCATGTTCCGGAAACTCATCCAAAGGATACGGATGATTATGTGGAGCGTCGAGTTCGTTTACTTGTAGCTGACGGGGCTACAACGGCATGTTTAGCGATTTCGAAAACTGAAAGTAGAAATGCGTTAGAATTATTAGCTCGTGCTATGTTGGCTTTCACGGAATTTTCGGATTTACGAGGACAAATTCTCAGTGAAGGTGGTGCTAAGGTAATTTTACTGGCGATATTTCTTTTATTTTCTCTAAATTTTGATATAGTAATTTTTTAGTTGAATGAAAATACTTGTGTCTAAAGTTCCTCCACTTTCTTATTCTCTCATTTTCTATTTACTTATTTTAGCTTTTCCTCTGTTGGTCAACTTCTAAAACTGAAAATTGTAATTATTTGTATGTCTGATTTTATTTCAGCTTTGCCTATTTCTAACAAAAAATGCAACATCAGAGGGTAAAATCAAAGCAGCACATGCAATAGCAAGGCTCGGATCACAGGTTACCATTTATTTTTGACTTTTAGTACTTTATAGGTTGCAATAAAAAAAAAAAAAAAAAAAAAAACTTTGCAAAGAATATTTACATTTTCAGGTTGATCCCTCAGTAGCTTTCCCTGGACAACGAGCATATGAAGTAATACGACCTTTGATTGGACTACTGCATCCTGATATTGATGGAAGGTCAAACTATGATGCACTATTAACCTTAACAAACCTGGTAGCTTAATTTTCAATAATGATTGAATCAAATAGATTTAACTATGGTGCAAGCCATATTTGTTATACAGTTGGGTCACCGTAAAAAAAAAAATAGGCTGATATTATTACGTAATCATGCACTCTAACTTAATAAGTACAACAACTCTTCGATTACTTCTAGTTGGTTCATTGAATATTTAGTTGCTAACAAAATGTTTTTTTTTTCCTAAAGACTCAATTATTATAGGAATTGCTGTATCTCTGCAAAATTACTGATGTTAAAACTGTGTATAAAAATTTTTTGTCCATCAAGTTTAAGCTTGGCTAAATCAAATTCAGTCAGTATTTATTTATTTATTTTTGAATTCAATTTTTTGTTTGGATAATAACCTGTCGTTATTTTTCATCTCTTTATAGCTTAATCTTATTAATCAATCGTAGGCAAGCATGAGTGATTCGGTTCGCCGTCGAATGATCAAAGAACGAGTCATATCGAAAGCAGAAGAGTATTGGTTTATGACAGATCATGCGCTACTTCGTGCAGCAGCCGCTGAATTATTCCTTAATTTATTGTTTTGCGATGATTTTTTCAAAGAAATTGTTCGGGTTCGTCTTTTTTTTTTAACCGTAATTTAATGGTTATTCAATCTCTGTATAAGATGCAATATTTCAGGATATTAATAACTAATCAAATCCGTTCCTCTTTTCTCTACGCTTCTTGTTTCCAGAGTGTAAAAGAATTGTTAACAATTTGTTTAGTAAACTTAATCTCTTATTATGGATGATATTGTAAGCTGTTTGTCTCTAATGGTAATGAAATTGAGATTTTTAGAAAACTTAAACTCCATGAAAATTTTCAATTATAGAATTTGAAATCATTTTGTAAGTGAACTTGTAGTGTTTTAGACTGGTACCGATAAATTGAAATTGTGGGTGTTATACAGTACAGAAGATGATGAACGTTTGGCACTTGCATCATCGGCCGGCTTTGCAATTTTAACAGAAAGTGAAGAAGCGTGTAAGCGAATTATCGATGAGATGAAGAGTTGGCCTGAAATTTTGAAGGATATTTGCATGTCTGGAAACATTGAAATTCAACGCCGTGGTTTAATTGGTATTGCAAATATGGTGCAATCGTCGGAAAAAGTTGCTTGTGAAATTGTTGCCGTAAGTTTTGAGATATTTTTGAACTATTTATTAGAATTTTGACTGTTTGGTTAAATGCTTGAACCTTTGCTGACTTTCTCGAATCATCTTTATATAATCTTCTTTTTTTTTTCCTAATAATAACTCAATCATTACACCGTTATAAAATATATAGAGTCAGTTTTTTGTAAGAGTTGAATATGGAATTCAATTTAAGTTGAAATTTACACTGATATAACTTGCAAATTAAATTAATTTGATGCTGATAAAAAGTTGTTGTTGCTTTGTAGAGTGAGATCTTTCGTGTACTGATTGCGATAACAAAATTGAAAAATAAAGATCGTGAGCCAGCACAGAAAGAAGCACGCCGAGCTTTAGATGCAGCCATAAAATGGGGTATTATTCGGCCAACAGATCGTGAAATTTATGAGCGAAATACTGGCATTTCTACAGTATCTGGAGAATAAATTCTATTCAAAATTATTCTTTTGTGAAATACATAATTTGTAGGTACATATTTATATTTATTATTATATTCATGTTATCCAAGACATTAGGGATATTAAATGTTTGGTATGAACGATTAAAGTTATGTTTTGATGCAACATTTTTAAATTATCTTTAAAAAAATGAATTTTTATTTTCTCACTTTTTTTTTTCGATTTTCCCAATTAATAGTTAATTTAACAAGCTCTCGATTTTGCCCAATTTCAATAAGTATTTCTTACGATTTGATTTATCTATTCTTGACTGATATGAATTAAAATAATTTCGGTTTTTTAAACTTTTAACTGTATAGGAGATTTTTTTTTTTATTGTAATTGTTAAATTATTCACCTTTGCATATATTAGCCTTTATTTGGTACCTTTACATAATACTAATTTTTGTTTGATAAAAATTTGACGATGTGCAAACTCTGTTACCAACCTTTCTTACAAAATGATACCTAAAGTTTAAATAAATCAGTTAGTACATTTACAAGAACTTCTAAAGAATTACAAAAATATAGAATAAGTTAAAATTGTACAAATTTGCAAAACGATAATGCTTGGAATATATTTTACAATATCAAATTTATGAAAATCGTAAATATCCATTGAATTCTATTCGTTCACACCTGTACCATTTGTCCCCTTACTGAATTTTCTGACCAATATTCCAATTTATTCCCATACCTAAGCGTATCTACCCGGTTTTTTTTGTTTATCGATTTTTTTTTTTGTTTTTTTGATCGATTTTTCAATGCAATGAGTCTTCCCCACATCTTCACGTCTCACGCCATCGATTCGCGTTTCCTACAAGATATTAATGAAAGTAAAAACAATTTGCAAATAAAAGATAATCCTTTCTTTTTATTTGTCCTTTTTTTCGAAATTTTAATCCAAATTCTCCATAATAACAATATTTTTTTTGTTCGTAGCACAATAATGAAAGGATCATCCACACATTTACAAAAAAAAAAAGGAATTTAAACAAAAATTAAATGAAAAATAGATTTCAATAATGGAAAAACTATCAATAACACTGGAATATTTTGCCATTTTTGATACCAAACCTACTCATCAATTAACCTATATCCTGAATATGTACTTTCAGTGTTTCCATTTCAATGAATGAAACCAGTTTTCCGGTAGAAGAAGTGCTCATGTTTAAATGCGAATATTTAGCGCTGTTAGTGAGAATCATTCTTTTTTTTTGTTTTCAGTTGTGAAATTATTGTTTGTCTTTAATAATATTTAACAATATTAAATAATTGAATTACTGGCATTTCAAATTTTGTATTCCACTAAAATTTGTTTTATAAAATTTAATTTGATTGAAAAATGATTCATTAGAAAATTTAAATCGTAATTTGATCATTATGGATCGATTAAACAGATCGATTGATCGGGAATAGAAAGTGTTGTAGTCGATAGCAGTGATTATCAAGAAACTTCGTTTAAAATCTTGTCAAAATCAATTTATTTTATTCATTTCAGGAACAATCTTCTGAAATTTCCATTTTGAAATTAAATTTTTCAGCAATTTGCAAAATGGCATGTAAATATCTCAATCGATTTTACTTCTTCGTTTTATTTCTTCTGATGATAATGCTAGTAGAAACATGTGATATTGAAATTCGATTAAAATCTGATACTGAAAAACCCTTTCAATTTCATTTTTCGGTGGAGTCGATAAAATATTGGAGTGATCTAATTATTGTAGCAGGAAAAACTGCTAGGAAATTGGATGGTTCATTAAGTAATTATCATATTTTCCATGTTAGCTTTTTATATTTCTCATTTTATTAGTCAATTACTAATAAGCAAGAAATAAGAAAAAAGGCAAAAAAAGTGAAGGTATTTGAGATTTCTAATAATTGCATATAGCTAATTTTATATAGATTTATGAAAAAATAAAATAACCAATCATAATTAGTAGTATTGTAATATACTTCAAATTGATATTGAAAAGAGAAAAAATGAAAAGATTTAGGAGGATTAAAGTTAAAATTACTCATCTAATAATAGGAATATTACTACATAGAATAAAAAAATTGGAATTTTATGACTAATTTGTCAATAAAATATGATAATCTCTTCTCTTTTTGTTGTTTATTGTTGATGATAAAATTTTTTAAAAGGACAAAAAATTATATAGTTTCAGGTGAAAGGTTCACAATGTGATGAGAAGAATTGGCATTTCTATGTATGGGAATTGGTGGAAGGAAGTAATCTTTCATCACCGATATGGAAAATTACCGATCATAAGAAATTTAAAATAGAAAGTCTATCACTTGAATTGTTTAAATTGCAACCACATGTTTATATTACTGTAAAGGATGATTTGAAAATGTCAATTGGACCAATGTTTGGTGTTTTATGGTGTCAACATTGTTAAATTTAATTATGAATTAATTTTTTACAATAATTTTAAAGAAAAAGAAAAGAAGAAAAATAAAGAAATGATATATTTAAGACAGTTTTTGAATGCAAACAATAAATTAAATTTTAATCAGTCATACTGTGACAAATTTTTGGATGAAAAACAAAACAAAGCAAAAAGAACAATGCTATTCAATAATATAAATGAATGATAACTTTTATAGACATATGATTAAAATTAAAATTTTCACAAATTTATAAATATAAAAATATTCTGTTCAAATATTAAAAATTAAGGAAAAAGACTTCTTAATACTGATTTTTTCTTAGTAAAATACATCCTGAAAATTGGATAAAATATATCATTCATGATATCTTAAATATTGCTACATAAATTAAACAAAACAAAAAAAAAAAAAATGTTGAATGTGATTCGCATATTACTGATAAGTGATATGTAATGTGATTGTATGATTAATATAATATGATGATATATTATAAAACAGTAATGATTACTGATAATTTAATATGATAATTTAATTAGAGTTCATATAAGTCATATATTATCAATAATTGTAAAGTATGTAAATTATTGAATTTATATTCTTTAAATTTTAGGATTAAATATAACATAATATATAACACTTATTGTATTACTTGATGATGCAATACTATAAGTGAAAGAAAAAATTAATTAATTAAAGTCAAGGGAAAGAAAAAATGATTAATATAAGTTGTTAACCAGTATTTTTTAGGTAAAATTCCGGCAAGTCATAACATCCAACTTAATCATATTATTCGGAAAGTAAATTTTCTTCTAATCAAAATTAAATTTTTTGTACTAAAAAAATCTACGCATATTTACTTTTCATAAGATATATAAGTGGTCACAATAATGTATCTTTTAATTATTTTCAAAAATACTACTTTAAGGTTTGAAAAAAATTTCGTACTGAAAAACATATTTGGAATAATAGAGCATTTGATTGTAAAAGAAAAATGAATATTTATAGCTGTGATTTCTGGATCAGATGGAAATTTCTAGTTAAAATGAGATACATTTTACACTCTCTTTTGACAAACTTTTTTTCTGTGAAAACTTTTAATAGTGGATAAATTTTTAAGGTATAACAATCATCTCATCTATTTTTAATCAAATTATTTGATTATAATGATTATTCGGTATTATTTCATTATTTAATAATTAAATAATCACTGTAATATTCGAATTAATATGATTGAATTAATATTATTGTTCTTAAATATATTCTTTATTCAATTTACACAATCATAATCTTATTGTAGTATTTTCTTGATATGTACTGATAAGTGATATGTAATATGATTGTATTCTGCAATTCTGTAGATATTTAAAGTAATTTATTCAATAATAGATGGTATTTACAAATAATTGTGAGAAGTTATACTTGTTAGAAAACATAGAAATAGATTATACTTAAACATTTGCATTGCATTTTCAATTAGTAATTTGAGAGATATGACTTTAAATCTTTCTTTTAATTTAGTTTTTAAATTCATAGATTTATTCAAATATTTTAATTTAGTGATTTGAAAAAAATCTTAGTGCATAATTTTTTAAAAAATTTTTTTTGAAGCTCGAATAATATATTTTAGCTGAATAGATTATGTACAGAGATGATAAATTATCAGATAAGATTCAAAATGTGTTATCATATATTAGGTACATCGTGTTCATCAATTTGAAATAAATATCGTTCCAAGTCTTCCGAATCGTCTTTGAACGATGTGCTTTTCAATATCGGAAATGTATCATTCTCGACCGTATTATGTTCCGTAATAAAAAAATCGATCAAATTTGTTTCATCAAATGTTGATGTTTGATTTGTAAATTTACTCTTTTCCATTTTAACGCATGAACCCTAAAAATGAAATAATATGAAAAAGCATTATCATCCATTATATCTATATCATCATTTGTTTTAATGCAGTCAAATTTTGACTGCATTTAAAAAAATTTAACACTTCATTTCACATCAAGTTGAAAAATTGAATTTCAATAAACAGCTATATCTTAAAACATTATTGTTAGAAATTATGTATGATTAAATTTATTAATATTATAAAAACTATAATTAAAATTGTATAAGAAAGCTCTTATTATTATTAAATTCCATAAAGAAATTTCAAATTATTCTTTTAAAATTTTATTACTTTTTTCAGGAATTAATTATGAAATAATAAAAATTTAAGCTGAAAAATTCAATTTAAATGAACAGGCATATCTAAAATATTATTGTTAAAAATTACATATTATTAAATTTATTAGTGCTATTAAAAATTATTATTAAAATTCGTAGAAGAAAGCACTTATTGTTATTAAATTTTATAAGAAATTTCAAATTATTTTTTAAAATTTTATCATCGTTTAAGGAATCAATTATGAATTAATAAAAATGTAAACTAACTGTATCATCTTGTTTGATCATTTCATCAAGTTTTAGTTCATAACCTGGTTTACATTGACACGTAATTGAAATTTCATTACAGTATGAATTGTTTACATCACATTGTTCCTCTACAATAACAGTATTTTTGCAAAAACCACCAATAGTACCATTGATACGGTCATCTACCGAATCCATAAAGACTATTGTTGTTAAATCACGACATCTTCCTGCTATATCAATAAAACCTAAAAGAAATTCAATATTTAATTTTTTTTTTTTTAAATAACAATATATGAAAAAGTTTATTTTATCTGTGCTAGCGTCATTTTTTATTACAATAATATTTTCACAGAATATAAGTGGAATTTTTTCTTTTTCAATTCTTTTTTTTTTCAGATTAAATAATTGGTAAAAAGGAAATATCATAGTCACTATTAATTATCAATTACTGGTTGTATAGATTTGAATTATAAAAGTAAACAATAAAATTTAAGGCAAATCACTGAATGGAATCATGAAAAACAACATTGGCTTATGATAGCATGTAAAATTGGCATTTTTTTAAATGCTAAAGTAAAATATGCATTATTATTTAGATTTGTACATTTCTTCGTCTTTTTTTGTAGAAAATTCAATTCATATTTCAACTTATAGAATTATAATAATATTACTGAAAACTAATATAATTGGTTTTTGAATTTAATTTGATTTTATAATATTGATTTAATTAAATTAGCACAAATCAATAAAAAATGAAATATTGAAATATGAGCAAACCATCGGGACAATGTGTTACACATTTCGATTGATGGATTAATTTATTTCGTGGGCATACGCAATAATTTTGTTCACATCGTGCTTCAGCGACACGCATTGAGCATTGGTCATTTTCTGTACAACCTTTTTGACCAATATATAGCACTAAAATGAGTAAATGAAATAAATGATAAAAGAAAATTTTTATTGAAAGATGAAAAGATATTATAAAATTTTCTAATAATAAAATTAAATAAGAAATAATTCTTAGTTATTTTAATTAAAATTACAATTAGTTATCTCAATTATTACGCATAACATGATTAAATTATTCGAAAAAAAAAAAAAAAAAAAAAAAAAAAAAAAAAAAAAAAAACAAACAAAGAAACAACAATTATGCCCAACATTAAATTATTGATTAAATTGCTCTAAAAAAAGTTAATCATCTTAAAAAAATCAAAAAAAAAAAAGCAATTTTAATTATATTTTTGTACATAAAATTAAATTAATTATTAAAGCAAATATAATGAATAATATTGAAAGAATTAAGAAATAAAAAATACAAAATGTTTACATCGCATGCATCGACCGTTCTTCATTCGTGCCAATCCTGGTTGACATTCTGAGCTTTCAGCATTATCAGCAGCTATTGCAAATGTCATCGGTAAACTATAGGACATGCTTAAACAGCACTGATAACGATTGTATTGAATTGAAAAATGACACGAATGCATCTGTGGACACATCCCTGGATTACAACCTTGAATTTGATTCCACTGATCCATTAATGGTTGTGATCCTATAGGACATCCAGATCGATCTTCTGCTACAAAAAAGAAAAAAAAAAAAAAAAAACTTTGGATTACAATTTTTTTAATAATATCCGGGTTAAAATGATTCTAAAATTAAGACTGACATTAAAAAATGTTTGTCTCAATTATTACAAAACAATTATAATCAAATTAGAATAAAAAATAAATGAATGATATTGCCGAAAATTTAAAAAAGTTGTTATACTTATTTTAATGTATTATAATATTTGTTATTTATTATTTAAATATACAAAATTTATTGACAATCTTTTTATTTTTATTTTTTTATAAGAAAATGATATATATTTGAAGTGACAAAATAATGGTAATTTTTTTTTTTTAATTTAGAAAAAAAGGAGGAAAACAAATATGCTACCTGTTGACGTATGCTGTTTGTGTAATGAAATTTCCGCTTGACCAATGTAAGCGGTATCAATCGGAGCGCAACAGTACGAGTTCATCTTTTCGGCACTATAGATACACATATATTGAGCGACCGTAGGACATGGTTGTAAAGCCATGTGACAAGTTTGTGGTTCCTCATTTGCATATCGAACATACGGTATTTGACCCATTGGACAATATCCTTTAATAACTAATTTTATAACTATGAAATAGAAAATTTTATCATTACTAATTATTATAATAATTAAATAAGTGTCCAAAAATTAATTTTTTTTAAAGATTTATACAACATTTAATTTTCATTTAAACAATATATGTTTGACATATTAAAATTCATAGATAATTCATTGTCATAAGTATGATTCAAATTTTATTTCGTATTTTCAGGTCGAAAAAAAAGGAGAACTAATTACTTTTTATTGGTCATTTTCTTTCATTGCTTATTGCAAATAATACTTTACTTTGTTTTTATAGAAAAATAGTGAAATAAAAAATATTAACCAGCATAACGAGTATTTAAATGCCCTGATGTGCAGCATAAATAATGACCAAGCATTGAACTTTCTTGACATTGATAACCAGGTGGACAATTGTTTAACATTGGTAAACAAGTTTGTGGTTCACTTGTTACTAAAAATAAATTCAATTTCACACTTTTTTTCTTCCCACTTTTAATTATACTATCTTTTTATTTATTTATTTTTTCCTACTAAATCATCGAATAATAATTATAAGGAAATTACAAAAATATGGTTAGAATCATAATAAAATAACGAATTTTTCTAATAAAATAGCTAATAATATGAAAAAAAAATTAGCTAACTTGGTTCAATATATGCAATTCCATTAGTACACATTGGTATCGGTGAAAATGATACGGAACAACAGAGATGTACTGTATAAATTGTTGACCTGATACAACCGTATCCGGTTGGACAACGATTTGATCCAGCTGGACATGCTAATGGACGATTAGCATAGAGATAAGGCGACGCATCATTTGGACATTGTGCTTCTGATGCAACATCTAAGCAACAGTATGAGGTCGAGCCATCTGCAGATGGATGACAACTGAAAAAAAAAAACTTTTTTGTTTTTCTAATGGAAGTAAGAAAATTTATTCTAGCTAAAATTATTCAAATATATATTTAACTTAATCATTTCGAATACTAACTGAGATAATATCAATCAATTAAGCTAGTGAATGACAGTATGCATATTTAATTTTTACCTGTAACCTGATGGACAGCTATTGAAATTTAAGCTACATATTTGTGGAATTGTTGAACCAGGTACTAAATAAGCTTTACGTCCATTAATACATTCAAGTGGTGAAACAGGGCAGCAATAATATAAGCCACCTGATTTAGCTACTTGACAAATAAATTTGCTAGGACATTGACCACGTCGTGATGTTAAGCATTGCCGCGGTGTTCGTGAACCTATAAAATATCAATATTACCATATATTTTTCTATTTTATGACAAATACGCACAAATTTCAACATTCTATGGTATCTAAACATTTATTATAATATATAAATCAAAATACTTTTTTTTGGTTTTTTAAAATTACAAAAATGATTTTAAAAAAAATCAAAAAAAAAATGATAAAATGAGCGAGAAATATGCTAACATACCAGGATCATAAAATGGTGCTCGACCATTTGAGCATAATGGTGTGATCAGATTTGATCGCATGAATTTTGATGCTGCAACCGGAAGTGAAGCAAATTTACAACATATACTAACAGTAGGTACAGATGACACCAAACATGTTGTATTTTTGGGACATGAATCCAATTTGGGACCACAAATTTGCGCCTAAACAGTGCAATAAGTTCTGAATCGAATCGATATAAATAGTTCAACAGGAAAATATCATATAAACCTGTTTAACTTAAACAAACAGTTCAGATATTAAATATTTCCGTTTTCATTTACATAAAGCTAATTAATTATAAAAATTCAGAAAATAAGAAAATTTATCACAAAAAATGATTAATCCAAGATTATATATATATGATAAATATTCATCATTATTAAATATTAATTTAATCTTAGAAAAGATAACAAAATTTTTTTAATTTAATAGCACTTTTGGAATCTCTAAAATTACATACATACCTTTTCTTCTGAAAGATAATGTGTTCGTCCTTTCAGGCATACTGGTTTTGTTTTACAGCATAAACCATTCGATGACGGAAAACGATTCAAGCATATGTATCCTTTAGGACATATGTCATCATTATCGTCATTTATTTGACATTGTTGACCGTTTGTTGGAAGATTTTCCGGACAATCAATATCCAAATTTGAATTTATATCCAATGATTTACTGCTAGATTTTAAGCAACACATATAAAAGCCTTTTACTGAGCTAAAATTTAACTACAACTTATTGCATTGCAGTTTTAAATACACTATTTTTGCATTTATTAATTATTCCAATTTATTTGTTGCTTTCCTCTTGCATCTAATTTTTGAATTCTTTAAGCAATAACTTTTGTTATTTTAATTGATTAAAATCAGATATTATATTAATTCTATTACCAATAATATTATTCATTTTCTTTTGCGATTTTGAATATACAAACAAAAGTTTTTTGAAATAATTTAAACTACATTTAAAATTCCACTTCCTATTCATCATTCATTCTAAATTATGAATTTTTACTTATTACATCTTCCTAATTTATTATTAACTTTTTTTTTAAAAAAATTTTCTTCATTTTAAGCAGCTGATCAATTGATTGAACACAGAAATTATTACCAAATGAATTTAAACAAACTAGAATATATATAATGAACTTTAACCTTTCCATACATTCTGATAACGATGGACAATTTTCTCTATCCGGTTGACAATTTACTGTTGAATCGGAGCCTGCAAAGAAAAAAAAAGAAAGGAAGAAAGATAATAAATAATTCATTTGTACAAATAATTCATTTTAAAGTATTACTCTATTGTATAATTTCAAAAATAATAAAAATTTCTATAAAACATCAAAAATGATTCACCTGGAATGGTATACGGTAATCGTTGATTAGGACATATTGCACTAGTTTTACAACAAATCGGAATATTTGTTGTTGATGGAACACATGATGATAATGCCGGACATGAACCAATAACATTTAATTTACATATCTAAATATGAAATATTAAAATTAATTAGTTCTCTATAATTATTCATTATCTTTATTTTGCAATTTATTTTTTTTTTTTTTCAGATAGTGATTAAATAATTTATTTAATTATTATCTGTTTATTTGGGTTATTGTAGATGTCAAAATTACCGGATTATCCTAAATAAATTTATATTCTTATACTTCACTTTATGCCTCATCCTGAACAGTTGTAATATATGAAAAAAAAAAAAAAAAAAAAAAAAACATTTAAACTTGCAAACTAATTCATTTATGAAAAGCTCAATACAAATGTTAATCATTAAATTATTTCATTTAATTAAATTTTAATCATATCAGTGAATGATGTTATACTTATGTGATAAACAGTTAACAAATTTGAAAATTTTTTCTCACAATTATTTCATTTCCAATATTAATAATAGATTTTAAAGATGAAAAATGAAAAAAAAAAAAACCTTAGGTAATTTATTTTCATCAGCTACATATGGTGACATGCCTAATGGACATTGGCCAATTTTGGTAGAACTATTAGTACAATGTATCATACATGCTTGTTGGCTTGTAAAACGATTTGCTGTGCCATCACAACCTAAATAAATTTTGCAATAATGAAAAATATTATCTATACAAAATTATTATAGTACAATTATTTTTTCTCACTTTTTTATAAAATTTATTAATTTGAAAATGAAAAAAAAAAAAAAATTGCTATACCTAAATACATAAATTGCATGCAATTTTTAGTAATTGCATTATAATACCATGCGGTATATTGCATACTATTTGCGCATGTATGTCCACTACTCATTGGTACTGTACATGCATATTCTGTAACAAAAAAAGAAATAAATAATTAATATAATTATTAACAAATTTTTTCCCTCTAATTATTTTAATATATTAAGTTTAATTTTTTTTTTATATGTGCTAACATTTTTTGGGAATTAAACTTCTTATTTTTTAATATTAAGAATTCATTTTGTTATTATCTTTTTCTTATCAAAATTATTTAAAAATTAATTATATTTATTATTTGATTAGATAGTCGTTTTTTTTTTTTTTTTTTTTTTTTTTTTTTGTTTTTATTTATATATTATTGTATACAATCAATGACAGTTTATTTACTATTTATATAAAGATTTTAAGAAATAATAAATATTTTTTCTTTTATTATGATAATAAAAGAATAATATACTGACCAGATGTCGGGCAACAATATTGTTTGTCATTGCAATGATAACCAGATGGACATGCCATAAATGATGAACATTTCTGCAAATGTCCACTTGGATCTTCTAATGGAGCGATACCGCCACATACTAAAATATATTTGAATAATAACTTCTTACGATAAATAGCTTTTTTTTCTCATTGTAATATTACAATTTCAAATAAAATTGATTATTTTTATAGGTCTATTTTGATAGTTAATTATTTTATATAATAAATGTTAAAACATTTTAACAGTTAGTATTACATAAAGCAAAAATACATAGTTTTGAAAAGCACAGTAAATGTATGATAGCAAGCAATACTTTTAATATTTCATTATTTTTAATACTTTTATTATCATTTTTTTGCTTAATTTATCAGCATAAAATTTTAATTACATTAATCACCTTTATCATAATTAGCTAAACAAAAATTTTCACAATCCATTTTGCTACGAAAATTGTTATTATTTCCAGAACAACCGAAATATTCAAAAGAACGACATTGTTGCACTGTTTGATCAAAATAGTATCGCTGAATGGCTATTCGTTGACCGAAACAATTTGTTCCAGCAGATGGCATTTCTTTACATACTGCCTCTATAAATTTTCCAAATTTCAATTTTCAATTTTCACAAATAAAAAAAAAAGTTATGCTTATGTGATTAAACAATATGAATATATTATGTATGAATATATTATCCATATTATCATTTACCAATAATTTATATTTTTTTAAAAATATTTTAGAAAAAATAAAGTCATTAGATTTTGTATAACTCTCAAAAGTTAAAATATGATTGAATGATAGTTAAAATAATTATTTGATTAAAATGTAAAGAAAACATGGATTGTTTATTACTTAAAAGATCAGCAATTTATAATTAGTTAGCAAATATTGTGTTGGTAGAAATCTCCAGTAAAACAATATTAGTGTTTGTTTATTTAAATTATCTAACCTGGATTAGGACAGCATATAGATACTGGTCCAAAAAGTGGTTCACGGCATGTAAACTGTTTGGGACATGTATTTGGCATATATGGTGAGCATGCAATATTTAAAGCATCTGTACGATATGCTATTCCGATTTCGCATTGCTCTAAAAAAAAGAAAAATAAATAAATAAATAAATTGTTAGGGTGAAAAATAAAAATAAAAATGAACAAACTAAAACTGTATCAAATCAAAAATTTTTTGTTTACTTTTTAAATTTATTTCTCATAGTTATAAATACTAGTTTTAATGTATATTCTTCATACATACTCTTAAAGTAATTCAAATGGTTCAATTTAAAGCATTCATTGTAATAATGTAAACATTATATATCTTCCAACTTCAATTTAATAATATTCTTTAAATTTTAGCTGTTAATGAGTACTTTATATCAATTGATTATCTTTATCAATTGTTATATTGAAAATGACAATTATGTTTATATATACTTTAAACAAATATTCATATTCTTTTTTTTTTTTAAATTTTAATTATTCTTATTTCTAATTTGCTGAAAATTATTAAACATTAAAGATAAATATGAAAATGATTTAAAAAACTATAGTTAAAAACTTACGAGCAAGACAAAATCCATCACATTGATCCAATGTACGAAAATTATTATCGTTACCGCCACAACCGCTATAATTGAATGATCGACAAGTGCCTGTTTTAGTATCAAAATAATACCTTGTAACGGATAATTTATTTTTTTTACTCCAACAACTGCCAATTTCACGTGGTAACATGCAAACATGCTCTGAAATTAATAAGTAATGTGTAAAAGTTAGTAGCATTGGCTTGAAGCTGCGAATAAATAAGCAAACTTTTATTGTTTCACATAGAGATTAATTCAATCATACAGTTCTTACTTAATCTTTTCTAATTATAATTGTTAATTATTCTTTTTTTTTTTAAAAAAAAAATATTTAAGTAAACATATGATATTGGTATTTTTTGATTAGTCATAAATTTCACGCTTCTATTATTCTTTTAAAACTATTTTTCATATTTTCATTTCTTTTCACCAAATAATTTAAAGATATAGCAAAAAAATGAAACTAATAATAATAATATTAATAAAAGAATAATCAGTTGTAGCAAATGTAAAGGATATTGTGAAATTATTATAAATTATTAGCAACGATTACGAATGAATATGTTCGAATTGAAAATATAATTGAATCCTTAAAAAATGAATTCATTTAAATTAATTTAGTATTATTATCATTAAGTATTACCTACCATGTGATGGACAACAGTAATTTTTATTTTCATTTGTAACACAAACGTATCCATTAGGACATAGTAATTTCTCAGAGCATTCCGTTGTTCCATCATTTAAAGGTTTACCAACTGGACAGAAATCTAAAATTTATTAATTAGAAAAAAAAAAAAAAAAAAAGAAGAAAATTGCCATAAATTTTAAATAAATCATTGATTTTCGAATTTTTTTCTTTGCGGATTGATTTCGAGATATGGAAATATTGGAGACTTAATTTCACTCAATTAAATCTCTTTTTTTCTTCTGAAAAGGAAATTTTTTTTATAAGTATTATTTGAACTTACCATCTAATACTGAATTTGTTTCTGAGCAACAAATTGATGTATCAAAAGTGCTACTTCGAACGCATGCAAAGCCATTTTGACATGAACTATAACTTTTAAAAATTATATTCATTATTTGACTTTCAGCACTTTATATTCAATACTTATTTTTATATTCAGTACTTATTAAGTTTTTTTTGTTTAATATTTCTCTATATTTCAATGATTGTTTCATAATTAAAAAATGTGTGATGCAAATTTTTTTTTTAATTTGTAAGATTTTTTTCAACAATTAATATTTGTTAATCGTTAGCTTAAAATAAAAAAAATACTGAAAAAAAAAAAAAAAAAAAAAAACATACTTGACTGATGTAATGGAACATGAAACATAAGAATCAGTAATTGGATTAATTTGTGCAGCGGAATTTTGTGGACAACCGAAATTTTTACCACAACAACGCGATATTGATTTATCTGAGACGACAATATGACGTACGACGGTACACGTGAAACCTATAGGACATAAAATACCGTAAGATAATGAGCAACTACGAGGTTTTCCATTCGTTATCTGCAAACAATCCTCAATGAATTTTTCTTTTATCTTCATTTTTATCAGTAATGGATTTTTAATTTAGGAAGAATGAAACTAATACATTCTTATTTACCCTAAATTTTCCTTCGCGCTATCAATATACGTATAACAGATTTACGTATATTTGTTATATTAATTGGTTAATGAATAGAATTTAAAATTAAAAAAAAAAAAAAAACATAGAAATAGAAAAAAATTTAGTAATCAAAAAAGGAAAAAGAAAGGAAGATCACTTAATAATAGTCCAGTTGATAGAAATCGTTAAATTCATACTTAGTTAAATAAAATTTCCTCATTCTATTAGGTATGGAAATTTCATTTACAGAATACATAACGCAAGTTCTGATATAAATAATAATCTTTAGTTACATTTAACATATTTTAAAATATCTATCAAATATTCTGCCTTATCATATTATTACAGAATCATTTTAACTTAAATACTCTTTCAAAGTGACTGAAGAAAATTTGAAACATTTAAATGATCCTTTACGCTATTACAAGAAAATTTTATCACTCCCAATTAAAACTCGATTAATCAACTACTCAAATAGTAATTAATTGGTACCTCAAAATAAGTCACTTGATTGTCTGGACAATAGTCTTCATCATTAGCTTCTATCATTTCACTTCCACCTTGACAACAATATGCAGCGCCTGTTTTTCCATATGGTTTACAAACATATCCTAATTAATATTAGTCAAAATAAATATAAAAATACAAAAAAGATTTTATAAATGATACGATGAAAAATCGACTTATATCGTTTAATTTCTTATAAGCAACTTGAAAAAATGAAGTGATGAAAATGAAAATTTAAGATTGAATGAGTTTTTTATATTGAATGAGAGTGAATTTTGCTGTTATAAATTAGCATACTAAATGAGAATAAAAGTGAATAAAATTGAATTACGAATGGAAATGAAAATGAACTAACCATCTGGACAACTAATAATTGATGGATTACAAATAACTGGAGAACTTAAACGAGTCATTGGTATGCCACCATCACAAAGATCATCTAAAAATATTCATCCAAATGCTGTTTGCATGCACCATAGTAATATTCCATAATAACACTAATTAATAATAATACCAATAATAATAATAAATCTTTTTTTGCTTAACATAAATATTAACATTTCTCAACGTGAAACTAATCGATTGAATGTTGATTTAGTTTTTTGATGTGATATTATTAGCTTTTCTTCCTTACTAACTCACAAATTATCTGTCTTCATTGATTTTCTCAAACATACCACAATAATAATGACCTTAATATGAATTCTAGAAGATGGCACTAATATTCTGTTTGAAAATTTCTACTTCATTATGCGTTAATATTCTATTTGAAAATTTCTACTTCATTGTAATTTAATTTAAGACATTTACATGTTTCTGTTATGTATTATGTCTGTTATGTACGTCATTTAACGTAGTATTTTTATTATCCTTTTTTAATTTATACATTAATATTGTTTATTTTGAAAAAGTTTATTTTATTTTACCTTGCTTTATTTTATTTTATTTAGTTTCAATCTAGATTTTAATATCATCTTTAATTCTAATAACCTTATGAATTATTTATCTAATTTATCATATAGTAATTTTTAAGATACTAATTTTGACTTTGAAAACAAAAAAATTAAATGTAATTTTATATACCGATGGAAATTCAAATGTAAAATGATGTGAAATGAAAGATTTGTTCAGAAATAATTATCAGAGTTGTATTATTTTTTACAGTTTTCTTTTTTACCAGGTGCTTGAAATTGAGGTAATAGTAATGGATCAATGTAATTTATTGGTTGTGCTTCATCTAAACATTCCAATAATGTTGCATTAAATCTTTTATCATTCGGACAATTGCGCTTCGAAAGTAGCCTGTAAAATAGATGAAAAGAATTTGCAAAGTTTAAAAGAATTACAATATCATATGAAGATATTATTATTCGTTATAATGTTGACATTTGAAGTTAATAATAGTACAAAATGGATAATTTCGATTGATCATTGTTATTTTTATTAATTATAAACAATTGAAAATTTTTCTTTCATTTCAAAAAAAAAAAAGTTTTAATTAAAAATCAATTAATTACCCATCAGCACTACAATGAAAGTATGATCTGTTATCAGAAGGATTTGCCTTCTTTGTATCTAATCCTGGTTTACAATCAAGTGTTGCCAAAAAGTCCGTCGATAATATTCTCAGCAAATAAACCTAAAATTATTTACAATAGTATACACCAACAAATTAATTGGTCATTTCTATATCCTTTTTTACTAGATGAATAAATTAAATTAGATAGTTAATTAACTACTTAATTAATTACTAGAAAAATGAAATTGTTAAAATAATACCATTTATTAGCAATTAATTAATAATTGACTTCTTAAGATTATTGAATAGATCTAAATTTTAGTAAAAAAAAAAAATAAAATATGAGAAATTCATCCTTGTTAGTATTAAAATAACAAAATAATGAAATTTTTATAACCATTAAGAAATGAGAATATATTTTAACTAATAAATATTTCAATAAATTAAGAAAAAAAAAAAAAAAAAAAACAAAAGGAGTGAAAAAAAGAGACAAAAAGCATAAATAAAAATGACATAAATGATAATAATACTTACTGATAAAATGGTAAGATGAAATATCATCATAATAAATGTTCTATTATAGCAATTACTGATAGGTAAATGAATATGTAAGCATAGATACACAGCCGACTTTTACTAAGAAACAATAATAATATATAATTAGACTGGACTGCACTGACCGATACAATACAAAATTTTAATATTATTTACATTTGTGTGCATACGATGTAACTAACTCTCTTCACTTTTGCTATTTGTTAATTCAAACTAGTCTTTATTTAAATTACCAATACGATTCAATTCTTGTTTTCAGACGCTTTTTAAGTTATCTTATATACACATACATATATACAGACATACACATAGATATATTGAAAAGCACCGATCCGATTAGTAGTTAAGTTGATTGGTTGATTAATCATTGGCGACATCCATTGCGATAAATATTACCCATTACTATTACCACTACTAGCTACTACCTGTCTGTTACTTGTATCGGATCAGATATCTATTGAAATAATTGCACGAAAAGGATAGTTGAGAATTTTGAAAAAAAGAAAAACTGAAATGGTTCATTAAACATTTTATTTATCTATTTTTTTTATTTTTTTAATGATTAAACTTTTATTTATAAAATAATCCATTCTATTTCATTTTTGTTTTACTGTTTTTTTTTTTTTGGTGTTTTGAAAATATTTAATGAAATATCTGTTAAATCTATCATTATTTTATTTTAACATTTACACATAATGGAATAAAAAAGCAAAAGAGTAGCAAATTTAAATATGTTTTTGAAAAAAGAAGTGAATCATCAATTAATTGGAGCATTGCATTGCTTGAGTTTATAAAAATAGTTGCTTTACATGGGATAATAAAATATTATTATGGGGTTGTTTATGGAGTAATTTTTTTTAGCTTAGCAAAATTTTAAAATTTGAAATTTAATATATTGTAAAATGAAAACATAAACTAATATTAAATTAGTATGTCTAAATCTTTTCCCATAGTGCGTAATGGATAATTAAAATGCTAATTGAATATGATGAATTGTTTATATAGTGGAATAAACAAACAAACTTTTATTTCTTTCTGCTTCTCATTTTTTCTTGAAAAATTTTCTCAATTTGATTCATTTAATTTAGATAATTTATTGCTATTTTCAATCTACTGCTTTTGATGTCCTTACAAATCAAAACTAAAAAATAGAGAGCATTAAAAGTTATTGTTATTATTGAATTTTCAAAAAATTTCTCAAATTATTTTAATTGAATAAGCGACTGATAACATATGCTAACATTCACAAAGGTTAAGTAAAAAAAAAAGTTAAGAAAAAAAATCATACAAAGCAGTAATATTAATATTAATTGATTAATTAATTTATTCATTCAGTCAATCAATATGATAAAATTTCCTGTTATATAGGAATTATAATATAATATAATGACAAATATTTATTAAGATTAATGATCGATTGAAACCTGTTACTTATTATTACATCAGTGTGTTTTTTTGTATTATTCGATAATTGATAAATTAATTTTATATTGTTTGATAAATTTATCAAAAAATCGCAATCTGATAGTAATTAATTCAAATAATTGTGTGGTAAATCATGTTTAATAATTTATTTAGCTAATTCATTCAATCAATACGACAAATTTTCTTTATAATATATAAAGATTATTCCTCCTTTTTCCCCTTTTTTTTTATTTTTTAAATTTTGATAATCAAAAACTGTCACTTTTTCTTAACATGAATTTTTTTTTTAATTTTCGTTTTAATTCAGTGCTTTTTTTTTTTTGAGAAAATGCTACATTTCTGTTGATAAGCACAATTTTATGTAGTTATTCATAAATTTCTTTTAACTTAAATCGGAAAGAATTATGCTGGAAAAAAATGAAACTTACTAACTATTCAACACGCAAACATACATTTGTTGTAGTTAATAACATCTTTTGCTTTAAATAAATAGACGGAGAGAGAGAAAGACAAAAAACACAATTTGAGGTTTGCAAGATATTTAAATGTTAGATTATTCAAATAATTTTTGGAATTTATTTCGAACTAAAACAGTTGAAGGCTTGAAAAAAATCAGCAAAGAAATGTATTTTTTTGTATTTCTCTAGTCAATATACTTGTATCAAAAATAATTTTTAATCAATTGATATTTAAATCTTTTTTTTTTTTATTTCATTTTTTTATTATCTGGAACCACTACAGTGAGAGATTACAACAGTGTAAATGACATTCATCATAAAATCTTCAAATAATTTTACACTAGTGAATTTTCATTTATCATATGGATTGTTTCAAACCAAAAAAGTTGAAAGAAATATATTTTCGAGGAAAAAGTAATGTATTTTTTTTGTATTCCTCTAATCAATACAGGTGAATCATAAAACCAGATTTGCCACATTATTTTGTCACATTTCCACTTCTCTATTTTGCTTTTTCTTTCTTATGTCTATGAAGATTTTCGATATAATATATAAATTTATATTTTCTTTTTGATTTACTTTTTTCTTATTTTATCATCTTGTAGATTGTATGGACATAAAAATTACTAACGGCTAGTTTCATATATTTGCACGATATTTTTATTTAAATCCTTCTATGTTTTTGTTCTCAATCTTATTCATTGCCTATAATATTCGTTTAAAATATCATTGCTTAAATAAAAGTTTCTGTTCTATAAAATAGCATTCAAACGCAAATAAGAAAATTAAAACAACTAAAATGAAAAAACTTCAATTTTTACCATTACATATATTTCAAATAATATACCGATTAAATTAAGGGGTAAAAAATGTGCTTGGAAGAATATGGAAAATAGTATATCATCATTTCTTGTTATGTGATTCCTTATGTGAATATATAGATGACTTTAATAAGTATTATTTAAAGCACTATACAATTACCTGTATTTTCAAACTTATTTACGCTTCTGAACTTCACTTATTATCTCTGGGATTTATCAATCGTTACTAATCAGTACTGCGCCATTTATGTGTATTTTTGTTTAGTAAGTTTAGGACTAACAATGATAACAAATGCATTGTTGAAACACTATGCATTAAATAATATCAATTTATTTCCTACAATTCTTCGAAAAAAAGGATAAAAGTGAAATGAGCAAAAGCGAAAGCTCTAAAAATGTGTCACATAAATATTCAACTGTTGCAAACTTGTTCACCTTTATCATCGTTTCATGTGAGTGAATAAAATTGTCATGATTAATATCAAACTTATAATCTCCTAAGCATATAATACTTTCACAACAGTATTAGCCATTGAAACTATAGTACAAAATCAATAATTCACATTAGTCAGTGATTGTCAGGAGATCGATAAAACAATACAGCAGCCAATAAACTAAATACTTTCTATCAATGAAGAAAAAAACAAAAAAAACAAAAACTCATCTTTAATTATTCATGATAAACAAATTAGTCGGAAACAGAAAATGAATCACATTTTCTAGCTAATCCATTGTAAATTCCAGAAAATTTAAGATCCTTAAATACAAGAATCTATCTTAGTTACATGAAAAATTCAGTTAGTATAAAAAAAAGAGAAAGAAATAGATGAAGTATTTATATTGAGGAGAGAATAAAATATAACTACGAAAACAACCCGTTACAAAACTCTATGCATTAATTCACTATCTTCAAATATCTACATCTTAAAAATGAAATTCAACCGTTAGATAAGGGTGAGCCTACATCCGATGATATATGAACACGTTCAAATGAATCTGTGGGCAACATATTTGCACCAACAACTGCTTCACCATTTCTTGATACAAAAAGTGCTAATCCTGAAATGCAAGTTTAAAGAAGAAATTTTCGTATAATCTATAAGATTTTAAATAAGTCATATAACTTTCGGTTAAAAAAAAAAAGTCATTCAAACTGAACTAATATTTCATTCCTTACAGTATGCAATTAATTTTAATCAATATAAACGGAACTAAAAGTACCTCTATCAGCGGATCGATCTTCAAATCCATTATCACTGATAACTGTTTCTTGTAACATACGATCAATCAAATCCTCCGCATCTACACGTGTAGCGCGTATCCTTGTAGCTGTTTCATTCGCACATTCAGTATTTTTAGCCATCTGAGATCTGCAGCAGAGTTCTTTAGCCAAACAGAAATTCGTTGAATACTGGACAAAATGTTAACAAACGCTTTGTTTTTCTATAAAATTACTCGTTCTTCTACTCTTTAATTTAATGCATATTTCCGCCTTACCTGTCTTGACTTAACCTCCTAGACTGTGCCAGAGCTGTATTAATATATCGCCGTACTACATCGGATTTCTTCAGGCTACTGCTCTTGAATGAATTTTCTGCTGCATAATGATCAAGGCAAATACCAGTAGATGTTGCTGAGATTGCAAAGGAACTGTCATCTGCAATTTAAATCTTTTCTTTGAACTAAGACTCGACTTCAATTATTCGACCAATAAAGTAGTTAATAAGTGCATGATTTGATAGTGTGTTGATAAGCAGCGTATTGATATCATCACATATTGTCATCTTAACATTGCAATCATGTCAACAACAAACAATTCTTAAGTGGATATGATCAACATAAAAAATGAATACCATGACACTGGGATATATCTTCTACGGATGATGAATCAGCAGAATCGGTATCTCCCTGTTTTCTCTGTGAAAGATAGTCATCGTTTGGTGGCGCCTTCCTATTCATTGGATTCAATATTAGCTCCTCTGATAACGATTCGATTCGTGGTCTGCAAGTCAAAAAGCATAAATGAAAAATAAAATAATAATTTATGCCTAAAGCTTTATGCACATATGGTTCTTCCTTTTTTTTCAAACATAATATATACACTAAGTGGTTTTTTTCTTAAACTTCAAATCCACAATTTCGTCGTTATTTATAGATGCCAATAACAAATTGTTTCAGTAGTAATTCTTAAACTTACACTTTAAAAATTGGGTCCGCACTTTGGTGACTCATTGTAACTTTAATCAAAATCCTGGAATTATCCTGGCGTTGATTTACTCCATAAGCATCTAACAGATATGAACGAGCAATCCCTTCAACACCCGATGCAGCAAATTGCGCCAAGTTGATGTCGACGAAGCCAAGTTTCGAATAAGATTTCCCACCCTTTTGCTCCTAAAACAAACAGTAATGCAGGAATATTGTCGTGTTACAATATTTGTAGTTAAAAATCGTAACACTATCAACATGCTCACAAATAAATGCTGGGTTGATACAAAACAATATGCTAAGCAAAAAATGACTTAACATTTAGTGTCATGAGTTTTTGTTAGAAAGCAAAATGGCTAAGACGGCCATAAATTACGTTTATATTTCAATCATCCTTAGCCTAGCTTACAAGTACTGCAATTTTTTTTTTCAAATAATGAATGATTCAATTTGTCACTCATTACCTAAGACAAAACTTACTTTACGAAGCGAAATTCTGCATGCACATCTTTCAAGGACACCCGTCAAAGGATCCGGTGCAATTCGACATGAGAAATTGAAGTGACTATTCCAATTAGCTGAATGATTGAAAACTTGAACACGTTCCGTTACACCTTCAAATGCACCACCATTCAACAAGCGGACCTGTAAAATCAATATAAATTATTACTGCAATGTCATAAAATCATAAATGTTTAAATGCGCTAACCTTAGCAAAAAGGACAGCATTAACCAGTGGTACATCACTTAAATGTAGAAGTTCCAAATCAACATGAAATTTATAACCACGTCGTTTCAGGAAGGCCATTTTACCACTAAATAAATAGCATTTAGTATTACCACAAGACTGGATTAGTCATTCAAGTCGAAATATAACTGAAATGATTATAAGATTATTTCACATCACAACCTTTCAATGATGAGCATCAAATCTTGTGGATTATATTTAGGGAAAATTTTGGCAAATCGAACAGTTTATCACTACCTACTACTGTTCTACATATGCGTCACATAAGATTATCATTGATTTTGTCATACCTCGTAGAATAAATATGCGAAAAACACAGATATGACAATGGAAATGGCGTTAAACATGATTTAACATGTCTAACTTATTATAGAAATACTTCAGTAAAGTTAACTACGTGATATACGAAAAAAAGAGAACTTTTAAACAATATGATAATTCATGCTACATCATTTTGTCATGATATACCATTTTAATACTACCAATTGAAAGATTCCATTATTGTGAAATGATCAATAATCGCAGAATGTAAACAGTGTTAACTTTACTGAATTCCACGTGAATATATGCTACCTATTATGACTAAGCGATGTAATCTTAATCAAACAATGCAAGTAAAACAATAAAAAAATCATATATATATATATAATAAAATTACTTCAATGAATGAAATGTAAAAATTAAGGTAAACTACATAAAAATTACATGCTGCATACATTTCTATGATACCTTGTCTATAGAATAATTAAACAAATAACCCAAATCAATTTATTCCAAACAATATATTCTTAAAGCTAACATATAGTTACAAGTAAAGTTAAATCATTCTTATCATCAAATTGTTAGACAGACCATATCAAGTTCGAATTATAAAATTATGCTGAAACGAAATGTTAGATAACGTCAAACAAAAAAAGAAAAAAAAAAAAAATCACACAACTACCTAGAAGTGCACGCTATAAGAGAAAAAAAAGAAAGAAAATCCTCTATCCAACTCAAAAAAAAAACCTCGTCAAAATCTTTATTGCCGGCAAATGGCCGACTGCGAAATACCGGCCTTACTTTTCATTCATAATTTGGTAAATCTCGGGAAAGGGTTTTATCTGTTTATACACGTTTCTATGTCATCGAAATGATAGAACAGTTATGCTCTACTATATATGCAGAAAATAAAAAGCTAATATTACGTAGCATTATAGTCTGAAAAAGTAAAAGTGACTTGATATGAAATTGTCCTTATTGTCTACCTTAAATTAAATAATACTCTCGAATTAATTGGTATTTTCTGTTTAGGAATATATCATATAATTAAATATAAGCATAGGATGATTTTGACTGAGAATTAAAAAACAAAATTAGAATATCAATCATACATTCTTCTTCATCATTGAATAACTTTACTAATTATGCATTGCCTAATTAATAGATTAAACTAGGAGTAGATAGATGTATTAAAAGGATATATGGAAATATTATTATTAAAATGAAACGACAGCAGTTGTTGTCCATGGTTACGCGTTCGAGAATTAATACTGAATTTATGCTTCTCATAAATAAAAGGATTATTTGACAAGAAAATAAGCAGTAATAATTACTTGGAAGCATAATATTTAATGAATTATTAAACGATCAATCATCTCTAAGCTATTACCTGATCCTATTGAAATTTTCACATATTGTTTTGTAATTTCAAAAGTGCAAGATTGGAACAATTAGACGAAATTTTTATCTTATACATAGTTGATATTGCGTGTAATTGATGACATATTTGATTCATCTCGTAAATAGGTTAATAGAGCAAATCATTAAATTATTGAAATACTATTGCAAGTAGTATGAAAATTTTCGGGAATTATTAGTAGACACCATATAATTTAATAGCTATATCTTCTTAATTCTTCATTCTTTATCATCCCAGTTTACCTCTCATCGTCTTCAATGTAGATATCTCTAATTATTCCCAACTTTTTCCATTTATAACTAATCCTTTCTTTTACTCTGAAATGAAGGAAATTAGATTATTAAATAATATATTTCATAAAAATTTATTTCATATAACACATATCAACCAATAAACAAATATAAATGATAAGTGTTGTGCGATACGTTCTTTTAAAAGCACAAAATAAAATATAAACCAAGCTAGAAAAACATGAAAAACGAAACGATCATGTTAGTTTTGCCGTTGTACTTTACTTTCTCTTAAGTACACCATCGATTAGATCGATCACTATTACAGCGTTATGTATGCACATGTCGTTAGCATATCTAGGATGTATCTATGTATTTTTGTTTGTTTATCAAATATGTACCTATGTCAGTTATATTTTTAGTGCTTATACCTAGACGGTACACAGTATGAAAAAGCACTTTCACTCTTTAGGTTCCTTTTTTCTTTTTGATAGGGAGTTGGAGATGAAGAAAGAATAGTTATTAAAATACCGGTCCAATGCAAAAGAATGAAGGAGAATTTCACTGATGCAATGGAATGGGTAGATGAATAATGCAAAAGCCTGTAATGAAAATGAGTTATTAACAACAGTTATTCCTTTTTTCTGTTTGAAAATATTCCAACCTATATTAAGAATTGATTTATAACAAAAAAACGTAATATGACTTTAGACAAATTTCATTGCTCATCGAGAAATGATCCGACAGACCAAGGACGCGTAAATGATGTAACCAATCAATCAACCAATATGTTATCTAACATAATAATACAAATTTTCATTTGGTTGTCTTCTGTAAACATCAGTCAATATCTGAATCACTTACTGAACAACACAAAGAAAGAAACAGCGTTCAAGTCAGAAGTGCACATATTCCTTCTCACAGGGTCCAGGAATAACAACATACGTTGAGATAGTTCACGAGAACGAACAAACGAGACTAAATACAAGTAAGATCATGCGTTATTGACAACTGTCACCGGCGTTCTTACAAAGCAGACTCTTCGGGAAATGCTCATAACATATAATATAGTTAAATAATTAAACAATCTATGAAGATTACAGAGAATGGAACACACACAAAAATATGCAGTGTTCAATAAATTTTACTGCTTTTACTGATCAATAATAGATTGTCTAATTTTAATTGTTGTTTTTCTCTTCCTGAATTCAATGGGTCCATCTATTTTCTTTCGTTTTACCACTGCACTCTTATTGCTAAATGTGATGAGGTCTTCTGGTGCCAAAATCGGTTCGCTGGCTCGTTTTCGCCCTTGTTCCTCAGTAGGTAACTCCCAATTTCTAAAACAAGTAATTATCCAATATAAGTCTTATTAGTTTATTAATGAACTCTTGTGATGACCAACTCTAAATCAATAAATTTCTCCATCGAAACTAAACTCCGATTTCAACTTTATAAAACTATCACGCATGTTGTGACATTACCTGATATGCATATTTTATCAACAACTTCATGAATTAGCAAGAAAAACCAAAAAAAAAAAAAAAAATAAAAGAAGCCTACACTTTTGGCTTCTCCGGAATTTTCTCTACCGGTACCCACGGACCGTATGGACTAGACTGCGGTGGCTCTTTCTGCTCTATAATCTCTTCAGTAATTTTCTCCGTTTCATTTTTGATATCGATATTCTCTTCCTTGAAATTCGAGTATTCATTCTGAATAAATCGATTACAACTGCTCTTTTCTAATGGCTCCTCCTTCGTCAAATTCAATGTCAGTTTCTCTTGATTTGAATTCTGGAACAAAATTTATTTGACTGGATAGCTTATATAAACAAAATAAATTTGATTCGCAAATCTTCAGGTCAATTTTTGCCAAATTTACCACTGTAAAGCATTTAATAATGACCCAGCTTCTCTCGAAAATTAAGAACAGGAATATGGGGGAAACTGATGCAAAAACCATGAAGACTGATTTTCTGAAAAAAAATACTTCATCAAGAAAAATATTTTTTCGGAAATTCACACCTCAGAAGATGGAGGCAGAGGAATATCACACTCATTAACAGCAAAATTTGTAGCGTTCATCTGTGGATCAAATTTCATGATTTGTGGTTTTTGAGACGGACTTTCTCCCATCTCATTCATAGAAGTTGACTGATATGTACTTGGATTTTGAACATCTGAAAGCAAGACATCCAACATAAAAAAAAAAAAAAAAAAAAGTGAAACAAGGGCATAATTGATAATGCACAGAAGATAATGTAATGTTGAGGTGACTTACTTGACGAGATCTCTTTTGCATTTCGTTCTTCTAGAATTACTTTTTCAGTCTCAGTGTGTGAAAAAGCGCTTTGTCGTATCTTCGGTGCTTTACTGATCCCTTCAGTTTCTTGCTGACCCCAATGACGACGCTGTTCTGCAAACTGATTTGTAAGTTATGAACTGAAGTTCTTGAATCACTTTACGAACAATTTTAAATGAAGAGGCACTGTGAGTTGATTAACAAGGGAAATGAGACAGTCGTTGACAATTGCTTATTGCAGGAACATTGCCATTTCACACCTTCCTTTAAAATATGAACCAAATATACCTGATTGCAATATATTTGGATCAGTAACCTGATTCCTAGCCACTGCATCAGTCTTATTCTCCATCGTAGCCAATTTCATAGCGTACTGTTCTGCTGTGTAGTAATTTTGGGGTTGCTCCCAAACGGTTACTGTAAAAGATCAGATAAAATAAGTGAGCAAATTATGAGTCGACAAAGCAAGTACAGCGTAAAAAATGAATAAACAGAGAAATATGCTACAGTTACTTCGATTAATTAAACACAAGTTGATCCATAAATCATACCTCCATTATACATATGAAAATAATATAGTGCACCATTGTCTGCCCTAGCTTCAACCCAAACTGTTTCACTTTCTGGATCACATTTCTCATTTTCTGCTTTATATTCTGCTTTCTTCTGCTCTAATTCCTGCTAAAAAGAGAGAATTTCTTAGTAGCATGTATAGATCCACTTCAATCTAGAGAATGAAACTTGAGATCACTGTATTTACCACAAATGAAATCTTTGCATTTACCATAGAGAAACCAACCCCTTTCCTCCGCTGCGCCATCTGACGAGCCATTTCAGCGATTGAAGCACTATGTACTCGTGGATCCATATATTTTTTTGGTTTCGGCAGCGGACCGGCTATTCCCGCTGAAACTTCATTTTACATTAATTAGCCCAATCTAAACCAAATAAATCATATTTTGCTTTATTCATTCACAAATCAACTCACATTGATTTCAGTATATTTATAAAAAGTATTTTCTTTTTACGAACCCGAAGGACATGAACCACCAATTCCCATACTTTTGCTCGCCGCAGATTCCATCATCGCTAACGTTGCTTGTAAATCATTCTTCTGTAAATTCCAACTGTTGCATTAAGTTTCACGCAACTTAAAGCAAATTCATGTATAACATATAAAAATGACCGTTTTCTAACAACGACCACTCAACCACTTCATTTTTTTTAAAAAAGTTTCCTTAAAATCTTCTCTCACACGATATATTATTCGCTATATAAAAGGATGAAGCAAATTAAGCAAACTGTCAAGTATTGTGACCTCTTTTTCTTTTTGTTTGTTTTGTTTACCAAGCTCTCGTAGTTTAGCCTGGATAGCAGCTTTGTGCTTTTGTCCTCCTTCATGATGCTCTATACTAACTCGATTATCCGCAAACCATACCTAAAAATTAAATAGAGGGCCATTCACATTGGCTTTTCAACAATACAAAATAACTCTTGAACTGAAAGTTTCCATTCTCACTCTCATTTATAGAGATGCTAGTTTTATGTCATAACACAAAAGATCACATTTGTTTATAAAAATAGAAAATAAACAAAATATCATTATTGAAGCTATTCGTCTTCTAATCATAATGTTTATTTAATTATTTATCGGTATTGAAATGACTGCAATAAATTTGAATTATTACCTTACATATCTCGCAAAATCTCCTTGCGTTCGACTTCCAAACATCCGTCATCTTTTCAGCATAACGTTAGATTTCGAATAAAATATGTCCAGGTAACTCATACACGCTACGGTCTCAAATAAAGCACAACCTTATCACCCAACCACTGTCAAACTAACCCCAACTCAGGCGATCCAACACATTTGAACACAAAAATCGGCCTTACGGCCGACAACATGTCGCACTGTGAAAGAACCTGCATCCGTCCTTGCAATGTTTTCGAGCATCTCACTATTCCCAGGACTAGTCATCATTATTTATACAGTAATATTCTATTCTTATAATCATAAAGAAAAAGTAATATTCTCATTCGACTTGACTTGATATATAAAACATAAAATTCGGAGCTTAACAGTTAGCAAAGTCAAATGTTAAGTATTATAACTATAACAGTATTGGATACTTTTAAAATTTCAAACTTCACTTTTAATTGGAAAAACATTATCAGTAATGTGTAATTAATTGAGATAAATGCAATATCAGTATCGAAATGAAATATCACATACGTAGCGCACTTTGCATATGAAAAGTTATAAATAATTAAGGGAATGTAACGCTAATCATTCCCATGAACATTTCATCGTAGAAAGGATAACAATATCAACTGATTGATGTCAAAAAAACAGTGGATTACAATTTTGCAAGCTCACGACTAAGACTAAGTAATTGACACTAGGATTGCCAGGCCGTGAATCTTTCACGTGACCCACTCTTACGTTTCAATAAATCGCGACTAATTAAAGTATTAGATAATACTGGTAATTCTTATCAAAATTGAAAAAAAATTGACAAAAGTGAAAGTTTTCAAAAATTCATTTATTACATAGTGATGAAAGATCGTTTTGCAAGAACTGAGGTTCAATATCAGTCTATGCTGTTAACATGAGAATTATAATGGATCATAACCATTCGGATCCACAGTAGATTCTCTATCCAAAAAATCTCCGGTACTCAACATCTCGGCAGTTTTACGGTCACTTCCCCTGTCGAATTTACCTTTATTATGGGTAAATTTATTGCTTTTTTTGCTTGACAGCTCTTTCCTTAAAGAGGACTTCGTTTTTGATTTTGCTTCCATATCCACAAACTCATTAACAGTTCTTGCTTTCTGCAATATCAGTATAAGGATTAAGAAGCTATAAATTACCAACTACTTATTCTCGAAAAAGAGGTAAAAAATGGCTTCAATAATCAATTCTCGGGAGTAAACTGTTATGAAGTTATTATGAGAACTTAGATCGAAACATTGGAGCTCCCTGAATAATCTTCGGAAAAATTAAATCTCACCGATTCGTTTGTATTATCTTTCCTTATACCGAGATGATCAGTTTTAGTGCAGATGAACGGATAATGTCCAATCTCGTCTTCGCTCTCTGAATCAGCGGGTATAGAAGCAACCAAAGGATTTGGACCCGAATCATCTGGCTCTCTATATATTAGTTCTGAAAAAATAAATTCCTACAGTTAACAATCCATGAATAATACATCTGCGATTTTAAATAATAATGAAACTAGTCATGTTTATGTCTTCTTTGCACCATAACAAAAGGGAAAAAAAAGACCTGTATTGTTCTCATTATCTTCGATATCGTTAAGCCAAGCATCTAAATCATTATTCCAAAATTCCGAATCCATTTTGTTGCCAAAAGCTTCCATTTTATCGTTGTCAGTTACGCTCTCTGTCAGATTGACAATCGGTACTTTATATGCTAGAAAAATAACCTTTAGAATGAAAAACGGAGAAAACTGAAAAATAAACAGCCAAAACATAAATAAGTTATTGCAGCAAAAAGTACCCATAGGTGTCTGTGGTTCATTTTTCGACTCATCGGATAATTGCAATCGAGAGCTATTCAATGTCATCCTTTGTTTTTGTGTAATATTTGTTTTCTCAACTTCCAGCTCATCTTCAGATGATACGTCTTCTTCGTACGTAGTCACCATATTGTTCACTTCCCTCAAGAAACAAGTGATCAACTGAATAGTCAATACAATTCTAAGTGAAATAAACAAACTTACTCATCGCTGTTAACCAGATGATTCGATAGGACATCCATTATAGGTGCGCTTTTGTTTATTAATTGCTCACTATTATCTACTTGTAAAGATGATGTAGTGATTGATGTAATCGAATAATCTGTTGAATTTGCTAAAAGAAATTTTTGATATAGACAAAATATGCTGTAGGAATTCTGATAACTTTTTCTCAAAGAACTCAAATAGATGTACCTGAATGACGTCTGATAAAGGAAGGAGATGCAACATTTGGCGAATGCGTAGCAATATTAGACGATGAGTGAACAAAAGGTTGACAGTATGGCTCAGCAAATGGTATTGGATGTCCTTCACCAAATGGTAATCCACTTCTTACTCTATCGGATATTGATACGGGAGCAACTTTTTCAGCGGCAAGACGTCGACGAGTTGTCATATTTTCCATAAATCTGTCATGAATAAAAAATTTAGGTGTAAAAAATTTGATATTTTTTTGTGATATAAATGAATGTAGCTGATTTAATTTTCCCTTCATAATGAAAATTTTACAATACGAAAATCAAAAGGGATAAATAAGAGGATAAAAGAAAGATCACCTGTCGTAATTAGCATCCTGTGTTTCTTCATACATGTCCAATTCATCAAAACTTAGCTCAATATCCCGTCGATTAGTCTCTAATTGACCAATAAGCGTTTCACGCTATAGTAAATAAAAGATATAAATATTATTTTGAACAAAATGTATCAACGAATGCTCTATTTTTTTTTCTTTACGTAGATGGACAAATTTTATTTTTTATTTGTAATTTTTATGTTAAATTAAATAAATCAGATAAGTAAGCTCAAAATAGTCCATTTAATTTAATTGGAACCCTTCTAGAATAAAGTTAAATTTTGTGCAGAAACCGCAGAAATTTTGCATTTGCTAACAATACATTAAAATGAACAAGCACTGTGTGGAACTCTAAGTGTAAAACAAATCACCTGTAGATATAAAAAAGGTATATTGAAAAAAAGATAGAGGAAGCGTAATCCAAAAGAATTGCGCATTGAACATTGCATAAAACGAATCTCCGAAGCTTGACTTCCATTTGGACATTCTTTTCTGTAAATGAAAAAAAAAAAAATTACAGTTTGCAAAAGAACAACATACATGAATACAGTTATCAAAAATATTCTATTTATCCAATGATAATGGAAACATAAGCCTTCTTATCAATAGATATGCTGCATTAAAATGATAATTCCATAATTAGGGTATTCAGTAATTAGTCATAAAAAAATTTTATTTACCACCAATAGTTCTTTTACAAGCCATAAACTACTTTGTGAAATAACATATGGTTAACATATTATCAATAATTAATACTTTAATCATATTAATGATATCAATGTATAGCAATACCTATTTGCTACATACGTATGATATCTAAGAGTATTCATCAATCGATAAGTAATAAGTACAATTATAAAGGTGCTATTATGAATGCTAATCAAGCTTTATAAAACATGAAGTAACATAAATAAGTTAAGAATAATTAGATTATGAACATTATGAAGTTATTTATTTTCCTTTATTAAAATTAGAAAAAATCAAAATCTTGTAATGGTTATATGCCTAATATATTTCAGTATTTCAAATATTTAGCTTTTCGAAAACAATAAATAATCTGCATAAAGGTGAAACTTCGCTTTATAATAGTTGAAAACAGCTATTTCATTATCATTTTCTCAAAAACACTGACTTAAGAAAGAAAGAAAAAATAGAGATACTATATATTTAAATAAAAAAAAAAAAGAAAAAGGCTATCAATAATTTTCGATTGGATGAAATTTATTAAATGTTTCTCATGTAGAATCATTTCATTGATTTTGTTAAGCAAAAAAGAAAAAAAAAAAGACAGCTTACGTTTGGCATCATCTAATACTACACTCTGTAGATTCGCATATTTAAACAATAGTGGCTAATTTCAAACATTTTCAAGGAAAAAATTCATTTATAATCTACATTCAATTAAGAAAAAATAAAACAGTGATTTGCTGAAGAAATTAATTCAATGGATCTACAGTTAGTACTATTACAAACAAATATACAATGCATATTTTGAAAAGTCATAGCTAAATGTCACAAAAAAAGCAAAAAATAAAAAATAAAATATGCAATAGGCAGCAGTTATATACTGGATATGCATAAAAGAAACTATATGAGATAGAGTGATACATTCATTATTTATTTACAGTTATATCAATGTGATAAGGCCTCTGAAACTTATCAAATGTCAACAGTGAAAATGTTGACAATCAATAGCATGCAATTTGTAAATATCCATATAAACTTTTGTTTTTTTAAATACTGATAGACTTTAAAACTTATGAACTTTAAATAAAAATTTAAAATATTCCAATGCTTTCTCAAAACATTCCATAAGTTTAAGATTTCGATTCAAGTTTTCATTACACAATAATATATGATATGCTAATAATGTCAGAGTAATGATGTCATCTTACCAGTAAATGGAAAATCTTTTTTTTTAAAGAAATTGTGATTACTAATTGCTATACAGTGCATGTGTTGTGATAAGTTTAAATACCAATATAATGCAAAAAAAGAAAAATAAAAAAGAATTAGGAGAGATCGATGTATTGACAGACTGGAATAAACTGGTCGGGCAAGCTGAACTGAACCTCCCGGACATAATGTAACTGTTGTCGACAAAATGGACAGGAAATATCACTGTCATTTCTTTTATGATATTCCATCACTATTTTCATCAAGCAATTTGAACAAAGCATATGACTACAACCAAGTTGTCGATCTGCCACATACTGTAGGCAAATTTTGCATTCATCAATATATTCCGGACATTTATGAAGTTGTAATAATGGTGATTCTATTGCTGTAATTCTTGTTGCAGAACAATTAAGTGTGTCAGTTTCGTTGTCGTTACCAAAATTTGAAATAGATGAAGTAGTAGAATTTATTGTAACTGTCCTAGTATTCCTTGATCTCTTCAAAAGTCCAGTTGGCTCTAAACTTAATCGTACACCACTATAAATTGCAAATAACAGAACAAAAAAAAAGTCAACTTTTAAAATACTAAATGACCATGCAAATGAGGAAGAACTGAAAAACTCTGATGTACGTCTCTCAAAATCAAAGAGTACATGCAAAGTACTTGTATGAATTACAGCTGCTGCAGATACTGCCAACGATAATACTAGTAACACTCGATGACTATGTCGAGAACTTCGAACTAACCAGCCGCTTGCTTGAAATCGTCCATTAATCCAGTCGATCTCTACACGTCCGGCTGATACCATATAATGATAAAAGATAGCACACCAGAAAAATAATATGAATGAAACAGTGGTTAATCCTGTTCGTGCAGCTATAATATTAGCCATGCTAAGCTTACCTTTAGGCCACTGAATTAGCACGAAAACATAAAACAGAAATGCAGTAAAATGACGAATAAATGTTGACCATGAAAGTTTATGAAGAATAGTGAAACAACTGCCCAAATTGTTCGAAAGAGTAAAATATTGTAAAATAGCAGAGCTCATTGTGTAAATGATTTATTGTAATTAAATCGATGTATCTTTCAAAAAGATTATTTTTGAAAAATCTATTTCCAAAAATATTTCGGTAGCTGGAAGAATAAAGACAAAATATGTATCGAAGGAAGCTTATCAGTAGCAACACGTTTTGAATGAATGAATTGTCAGTAAAAATGCACCGAATGAAAACCTATACTGTGATCAAAAAGAAAAAGGAAATGGAAGAGCAGTCAGTAGTGACTATTGATTTTTTTGAAAGTTTACATTTACTCAGCTGTAGTCATCATAAATAACTTCAAATTTTGAAAAACAATATGTCATGCAACTTCTATCGATCCTTTTTATACCAAAGATTGTATACTTCGATCAAAGACCAAGAATGAGCGCAAATATTTCCGGATTAACTTAATACAGTGTTCATGGCTTCACCCATTCAAAATATCAGCTTTTTTTTTTTTTTTTTTTAAATGAATTCGCGGAGTTTCAACTCAAAGAACTGACGTCAGAACTAAAAAAAAAAGAAACCAAACATCACTGTTTTGATCATACTTTTTTTTCTTTTGTAACCCTATTTGTTCATTAACTTTTCTTTCAATAATAGTAAATACCACATCACAGATAGTCAAATTTAGTCGTAAACCTTAGTATAATTTCTCAGTTTGAACAATTATCAGCATAATAATCGATATGCTTTACATATATAATTCGGAATTTCTCTCATTTTTATTCATTGCAGCACCATTTCATAAATACTTCAACTCTTCCAAAATTCCACACATACAGATACTATATGCATACATACACAGACTCATTCTTAAATAACAGACTTTGAATACCAACAATGCTACAATCAGTACACCAATAGTACGTCTTTATTTTTCACGCATGGTAGGTTATTTGACCACACTAATTTCGACCTTATCTTTGCAAAAAACAAAAAGCACTCAAAAAAAAGGATGAAATCATATCAAGCTTTTTACTAATGAGATACACTTACCGTTTATAGGTTTCTACAAATAGTCGACAAATATCCTCGGAAACTTGTCGATGATGACCCATGTCCCGCCTGTTTCCTATAATCAGTACTGGTATATTGCTAGGAACGCTGTCCAATTCTCTGGTTACATAATCCCATGTCCTGAATTACAAATAAATATACATCAATGAATGAAAAAGAAAACAAAATGGAACAGCTGCTGAAAACATGGCACAAATTTAAAAGATCCTTCCTTATATGGGCTATGTTTGAAGTACATCTATTAGAAGATTTGTAACTATCATTAAATGATTCTTACAGAAAAATCCGCACCAGTTTTTAGTAATATCAAACATAAGTATAACTCCATTGGCGCCTTTGTAGACATCAACAAACTGCGCATCACAAGCAACTTCTATGAACTGAAAACAAGCATAATAAACAGGAAGAATAATTTTAGTGATGTAAATATCAGGTGAGTACTTTTGACTCCATATTCTTCAGTTTCAGACCATCTGGTTTCACACGCTTCTTTGTGCTTTGATCAACTACATCCCATACATCTACTTTGACAACGTCATCTGTCGTACGATAGTTCCATTGTATAGACGCAACCTAACAAACATTATCGATAAGAAAATTCAGTGGATATTAGTGAATAGTTAATCCAAATATTTCTTATTTATAATTCATGGAACATTATAATTTTCTCTCAAATCACTGTAACAAAAAAAAAAAAAAAAAAAAAAAAAAAGCAAACTGTATTTCACTTACCTGTATTTCATTAGTTGGTGCATAATCATCCAGAAATGGCAAACCTTGTAGACGCCGCCATAGAGAAGTCTTTCCAACATTTCGGTCACCACGTATTATAATTTTCACTACAATATTACTTATATCGAACAGATTAATGTTATGACTGATATGAGCAGAATGTAAAAAAGGGAATAAAATAGTCTTTTACGAAAGAAGTATCACTTCAATTTGCATGTTAATAGTCATTTTTAAGAAATGATTTAGAAAATTAAAAGTTTCAAACAATTACCTTTTTTTTTTTAAAAAAAAGACTATAAATATCTATTCCTTTACATCTTTTACGGACGAAATACTTACTGTTATATTGTACTCCTTTCGCATATTTCCTTTGTAGTTCTAGGTCAAGAGCAGCAATACCATGCGGCATACGTTCAAGCTCATTACCGCCATGACGATCACCACTGTCTACCCCACTGAATTTCTTCTTCAAAGCTGATATCATTGTTATGTAATTCAATGTATCATTGTAGTGTTTCCGTGATACCGATTTGCTGATTGATAAAATGCAAATCTAGACTTTTTTGAATCTTTGAAGTGTTACTATTGACGAAACTGTAGACAACAATTGATTGGCCAAAGCTAGAAATTGTTTTCTCGTCCCAGCATATTTATTTGTTTATAGTACATTTGGATATACGTACGCGCATCCACAACGAAAAGTTAACGGAATAGGCATTAAATTCATGCACTCATTTCATCAAAAAACTGTTATCGATGCTAAATAAAATCTATGTGCCTCATATTTATATAATATGCAACGAAACATAATCCAAATGCATATTAGATTAATAGACCTGAAGAAAAATAAACATAATATCTAGAAAAATTCCTTCTTTGTTCCAAATATTTCTCCATTGATCAATGAGAGAAAGTACCACTTGTTATAATAAACGTTCAACTTACACAATACATCAAACAATTTTTTTATTTCGGAAATTCATAACAGAAAACAAGAATGTGGAAAGAGGAATGAGATATAATTGAACCCACAATGGACAAATACACAATTTATATATATTTACATCATCGCAATGCAAACATATATACAGAAAGCATTCCTTTCGGAAAATTCTGTTGCTTCTTCTCGGCCATTAATGTAAGGCCGACATTTTGAAAGAGCTGCAATAATGCATACTTGGGACGCGTCCAACTATTATCTTCTTCATCAAAATCATATCGATCTTCAGAGGATGAAACGTTCTCCTTTAGAATAATAGAACCATTTTCTTTCAAACCTTCCTGCAAACTGCTTATGTTTGGAATTTATGATAATATAAATTTGATCTATTGTTAAAGAAAATTCGCAATCAAACGATAAGCTGAAACTCACCACATCTTTTCTTTTATCTATCAGTTGAAGTAAATTTTCTATTCACAACCAAGTCCACTGCTGCTGAATGGACATAGCGTTGTGTGGGAAATGAACTGGAAATGCTGTTTGAATGAATGTATGCTACGATCTAACATCCTTATTACAAGTTATTAGCTTCGTAACATACTTTCATCCAAACAGCTAAAAATAATAAAGTAATGAAGTTATCGCAAATAACTAAACTTTGAAAAGATCAACCACAAAAATATGCAGAGATAGAAGGAGACGTATCAAGCTCTTGTAGAAATAAGAACAACTAAATAAATTACTCGAAATACCTTTCATAATTTTGAATTAGTTTTTAGGATATATCTATGATTCCTCGTTAATTGGCAATCAAAGCTTACCTTACATCTTCGGAGGAATTTACTAAAATCGTCATCAGTCAGATGACCAGTAACCCATTGTATCCATATAAGATCATAATGACAAGATAATGGTTCGAATTGTTGCAAACTGCATACCAATTTATTACCAATTCTACTGTTCTCTTTACCAATGTAGTTGGCAGATTCTGGAATAATTTGTGAACTTCAAGATATTCGCACAGTAATTAAATGCTCGAGAATTACTTAGCCTTGCTAATATTTTCTTCGTTGTTATAATAAAAGCAATTATTAAATTATTACTACTATCGAATTAATAACCTCAACTACTCATTAGTCGTTACCACTCAAAATAATGCTTTTGTTATCAATCAGCAACCGTTACTTTACATTATTCAATAAGAAAGTATTATAATCTCACTGTTCACTAGTCGTTATTGTGATCAACTGCAAACAGCTAATATACATATAAGGAAAGGTGTACAAAAAAATTACTTCTTTTACAACATTCATAGCAGATATTTTCGCGAGTATTGAAAGCAGCAGGAAAGTAATAAGTACAAATCAGCTTACCTTGAATAAAACTTTCGGTAACATCTACCATATCCACTGATTCAAATAATGGTAATAAGAGATGCTTGGTAACACGTCCTATGCCACAACCACAGTCAACAGCTCGTTCAAATTTTGTCAGCGTTCCCTAAATAAAATAGCGATTAAAAAAATAATTCACTTCGACAAATGATGCGAACGACTTTGCGTACTTCCATGAGTTTCAATCTTTCGTATGAAAGAGATATCTTTTTACTTCCTGCATTAAAAGTTTTACTAACACAAAATATATTATAATGTAAAATAAGTATCTTCAGTTACTTTTAGTAGTTTATTATACCACTTTCAGCTATACCATTCTTCAATAAAGAATTGGTGAATCTTTTAGTGAGGTTATCACATCATAATGAACTGGATTCTTACTCTTTTATTATTTAATAAAGTTTCAGTGATAGACAAAAGTCAAGACGAACTTTAGCTTTCAACAGATTAATAAATTGTTTTGAAGCATGAATGTCGGGTACATGCAGATGAGCGAAGCCTCCAAGCATACCGTCTACATTACAAGATACGGATGCCCAGTATGCTTTAGCCTGAAATAATTCATTTCAAAATAAATACAATAATTATTGTAAAGAATAAAAAGTCATCAGCATAATATAAATAATTTATCTGGTATTAAAGCTCTCTTATTAAACAAAATCACTTAGTAAACAAGGAATCAGGATATATATTTTCTGTCAAAAATTATAGCTACCTGTTTCCATGAAAATTCCTAATTATTTTCCTACCGTTAAAATCAAAAATAACAAACCTTATCAATTCCAACATATATACTTACTCACTCACTTAGCATGAATCAGCATTACTACCTTTTCATCATATTCATATTGTTATCTAAATGCTCGTAAAAATAGATATAAATTGAACAATCTATGAAATATATCAATGAAACATGATAAAATAGAATATCGATAAAATAAAATTGAATGGTAGGATATAACAGATTAGGACTGAATACTGAAAACATAGGAAAGGATAAAACATAGGGATAAGATTAGAAAGATTTTTTCACTAAATGCTATTAATAACTTACTAACAATGATCTTAATTCAAAACTTTCACATCTGATGCAAACTTTTAATTTATGATAAAATTTTTGGAAATTAAAGAAAAAAATAATTGTACATTTACCTTTTCATAGATTGTATCCTTGTCATCTGGATCAGCATTTGATTTTTTCTGATGGAATACTGAATTCATCCTAATTTGAATACTTCTCAATATTTTTCTCTTCTTCAATATATCATTATTAATTATTGCACTTCTATCCATTAATCTTTCATTTTCAACATCAAATGTAGTCCTTCTAGAAAAATACTAATAATATTAAAAAATTAATTTCACGCAAAATGATGTAATGCGTAATCTGAAGTAACGTAGCATAAATTAAACACACGTAATATTGAGAATCTAACTTAGGTAATGCAATAATAATATAAAGTAACGTGTTGTTAAGTAAAACCTATGTAATATAATATTTAATTACGACGTTTTCCACATATAACACTAATTTCATAAACATTTCATATGATGTAATGTTTACCAGTTTGAGCCACAAAAACACAAATTTTACGCAAACGAAAGTAGCGCCACTCTATGAAAAAAAGAACCCAATATGCGACCATCGCAAATCATTTATCGCTGATTGTAGTTTTATCATCCTTTTAATCCATCGGAGTAACGGTAGACGTAAGCGTGTACATACTTTTACGTGTAAGCGTATAGCATAGTTTCCTCCACACTTGAGTTACTGTTAGTACTTTCAGGATTTCAGGATAACTAATTCAGGATCAACTTCTGTGCAAAATGCTTTGTTTCAGATATTTCCACCATTTTCAGTTAGCCTGAAAGGTCACTAAATAATTTGGAGTGTTTTTTTACCTTATCGAAAGGTTGCAGAATGAATTACTGCTAATTTATACTTTTGCATTCATCGGCATATCGTAAGCATTTGATCAGTTTTCTCACCTTTGCATTTTTCATTTACTGACGTATTTCACTCACGTATCCGTTGCGTATGGAACTTTTTTTCATCTTTCATTAACGTTATATATTATCATTTTTTTTAGATAAATTGTAACTTGCGTGAAACACTTTTGATTCATTATAAATAAATGGTCATGTCTTTTTGGTCTTATAGTGTTCCTAGATTTGAAGGAACTATGTAAAGTGGCGTTGTGATTTTCCTTTTTTTTATACAGCAAAGTAAAAGGTAAATGTTTTTATCTTACCAATAAAATGCAACTTTTTTCTGTTTAATTCTTATTTTTACAAAAAAAAAAAAAAAAAAAGAATGATCAATGAATCTTTGAAATTATTTTCTTTTCCTATTATCAGGGAAACGGGGAAGAGGTAAAATTTTGAAAGATGTTTTGAAATTTATGCGTGATTGGGCTGTTATTTTCTATCGTTTATTGATGTGCAAATATTTGCTTTGCTCTAATTTTAGAAGATACAGAATTGGTTATAAGAATATTGATTAGAATAATGATAGGGAAATTTAATAGTTTTTCTAGTAGTTCTCATCTATTTAAAAAAATGATTTCAGCTATAAATATAATCCAGCAAAAAGAGATGTATATGGACATCGAAAATCTTTTCGTGTCACCTGCACCACCGGGACCAATTGTTCCGGTACATGAACTTCTCAGAGCAGGTCTTATCATTGCTCTGTTTATCGTAACGCTTCTAGCTTGTTCTGTATGTATATTATTTTTTCCTTCTTATTTCTTCTTTGTTTTTTCACTGCCAAAAAATTGATATGATAAGCAAAAATTATGATTTTGGCCAAATAAGGAATAGTTTCCCGTGAAAAAAATGTAAATTGCAATAAATTCCGTTATGTTATAGATGTTACTATCCTTTCTGGGCTTTATTAATATAAATTATTAACATGAAAATTATTATCATAATGAAATATTACTGTTTAGTATCCTTTAGACTAATATAGTGAAATAATATTGATTGTAATTTGCAGTTTGCATTCCTGCTTCGACGCATAGCAAATACAACTACTGGATTTTGGCCAGTACTTTCTTTGATTTCCGTATTTGGTGGTGGTGTATTTTTAGCGACATGTCTCCTAGATCTGTTACCAGATGCAAAAGAAAGCCTTAGAAGAATTGAAAAGATGCAGCAGATCACTTATTCCTATCCAGTTATAGAAATTTTTATAGGTGTTGGTTTTCTGCTGGTGCTTTCAACTGAACAGGTAATTTTTGATCTTAAGTTAAAAAGTGGCATCTGTGCTTTTTTCGATGATTATTCTTCCTGCATATGATGGTAAAACTTTAGGACTTGGTAGCAAGGGTGAAACTTGGTCTCCGAAGACATTATTTCTTTCATATTTAGATTATTCTGTTTATCCGAGAAAAACAGTGTTATGGTACCGTAGATATGAACGTTTTAATCAGCGGACACCACGATCATAACGACTCAAATCCTGAACTTTCAACTCCTTACTCTGAATGCGGTTTATTATATTATAGACTGTTTCTAGCTTATTTTGTAACAAATTTCTATTAAAATCAATTTTTTTATTAGAAAATAAGCGATAATCATATTTCATGTTTAGACGATGAAGTTAACCATCAGTCTTTAACGCACACTCAATCGACACTACGAATTATTCTGCTAGTGATGGCACTATCGTTACATGCTGTGTTTGAAGGCCTATCATTAGGCCTTGTTAGCGGTATGAGGGAAATTATGCAAGTAAATATTCTATTGTTTTGTAATTTTTTTTGAAACCATGAATAGTTTATAAAGTGAACTTTGTCCCTCTAAACTATCAATGATGTTTGCCTATATTGCTTTCTAAATAAGATGTAACATCGAACCAACATGACAGTTGCATTATTCATTGATTCTTTTCGTAGAATTTAGTGTTAATTAAAGCACATATATGCAGATCTTCTTCGTGTTGCTCGTGCACAAAACAGTTATTGGATTTTCACTTGGAGTTCGTCTTGTGAAAAGTGCTTTAAGTCTTACGATGGCATTAGTATGTTCGATTATCTTCGCTGCACAAATTATTATCGGAGGTTTTGGCGGCATTGCTATTCTAGATGTCGTTAGCCGTGGATCACCACTTATTGCTGGAACAGTTTCTTTTATTGCACAAGTAATTTTGATACATTTATTGACATCAGTAATTGAAAAACAAAGTTCATCTTTGTTTTCCATTAACTGACTACCGTTTTACTTAATAAAATACTTTAAAAGGCTTAAATCTCTTATGTTTCACGCTGTATCTTGAAATATGTGAGTATTGGAAAAATTTTAAATATTCACATCATAATGAATGAAGAAGTCATTGTAGGGAAAGTGGGAAACCCACATAAGACAAAATCATTAAATCATGACATTCAGTCTGTTTGACTAACTGATATTTACAGGCAACAGCGTGTGGAACATTCTTGTATATAACTTCTTTCGAAATATTGCCGCGCGAGTTCCATCAACGTCAATTTCGTGTCGCAAAACTCTTCTCATTGATCGTTGGATTTGTCCTTATTGCGAGCCTGATAGCTTTATTTCCCAACGGCTCAATGTAGAAGTGCCCTATGAACTTTATCATTATAGAGTTCTTCGCTACATGGTTTCACTATATTGCTATCATAGAGACCTTCTGACCACTAATGATGCTTATCCTCTTTTTATTGTATGACTACATTTACGCAAATTTATGTGAATGATTTGAATCATCAAACTAATTACGACGGACTCTAATACTTAATCACTCAAAGTAATTCGTTTTCCTATTACTATATGTCCTCTTACACTAATCTATTAACAGCTCTTGCAAAGTTAAGAAAACGTATGACATATACATTGAATATGAGAGTATCTGTTTATGCATCGATGATTTGTACATAAAAATTTGTTTAACATAGTACAAAGTACCAAGAAACAGTTACTGCAATCGGTGAAATTTCAGAACATTATTATTCCATCGTTAAAAAAAATTGTGGATTATTGGTCAAAAGACCATAAAACTAAAGAATTATCTAGAAGTTCCGGCGAATTTATATCTTCATATGTGCTCCCCAAATCAATATCCATTTGATCAAGTTGAGGGAACGGAAAGACTCTTTGTCCACTGCAAGTGGCTACGAGTGGTTGTTCCTTGTGGATGCTAAAAAAAACGAGATCACCAGTGTTTTTCTCTTGAGAAACACCATCAGAGTACATGATACCTATCAGTTTGTTTCGTAACGGAATCCTCAGTTTATAGTAACCAATACAAAGCGAAAGTACTAGTCTCTTTTCTCTGTCTACCAAACCATTATTTCATGAAGTTTTTACATGCATTAACACGGAAAAGAAAATATTCTACAAGCGATGACACAAACCTCAAGCCACATAGTGCTGAGCTATGTGCGGACAGTTGGACGCATGGAGGCAGCGGTTCACCACCATTAGTGCATTTTAAATCGAAGATATATAATTCACCACTGCTACTGCCACTGAATAAATATGTGCCTGAACTAAAATATAAACATTTTACGAAGTCTCCTTTTCAGGTTAAATTAGTAACTAACTTGTATTACCTGTCTATGTCGAAATAAATACGCTGACTAGTTGTCGAAGGCCGTTTATATAAGCTGTATATCTTTCCAGGATACCGCAAGTCCCAACATATAATATCATCGTCCTAAAATAAGTCGACAGTCAACAAAATATTTAGAAGGAAACAATATACTTAATACAAATTCAGCTTATATCTTTAGTTTCAACTCCTCTCCCATTCCTTCTGTCAGTGTGTAGAGAAAAAAAGAAATTGTTTTCATAAGTAGTAAACTGCAAATGAAAACAATACCTTTCTTCCTGCTGTCAGTAAGAAGTTACCATCGGGACTATAGCGAAGTAAGGTTACTGCCAGCGGGCATTCGAACATGCATTCTACACTCGGCGAATAGTCCGAATAAAAACCAACTGAAAAATGTCCACATTGTTGACAGTTATTTCCAAAATGCTACATTTTATTTAGTTCACACATAATTTACTTATGAATTCCAGGAAATATTACAATATTTATTTCACGAGGAAAAAAAGGAAAGTTTACTTTACAAATAAATAATTTACCTGTTTTACCATATGATCCAGCAGCATAATTTGTTGGTAGTATGGGGCTGATAGCAATACAGGAGATAATACCTTTCTGTCCTTTCGATTCTTTATCTATAATAATGTGAAAGTGAATAAGAAACGCATAATTCGAAAGATAAGAGTAGCAGTTTGAAAATCTTCATAATTTAGCAGATGAAATCTAAGATAACAGCAACCAATTTACTCCATGTAATCAGTTCGGAAACTTGATGTCCAGGACGATTCATATCAAATTTCCTAATGCTGCTTTTGTAGCCAGCATATAAGCAGGAACCATCAGAAGTACAGCACAATGAATGAGCATTATCCAATTCATCCTGCAATTCTTCAGTACCAACAAAATTTAATTGTCCAGTTGGGTGAAATGCTCTTAAAACAGAACTGATTGGATGATCAATGAAGAAAAAGGACATAATTAATTTTTATTGTAAATCAAAAATCTTAAGCATTGAATGTTACGTCATATGTTCTATTTTCTTGTATCCAACGCTTCCTCGAACATTGTTATTCAGTAATATTACGGAGATTAAAAATTTACCATGTTATTAATGCCACGAAATGTTGCCAACCACCGTCCGTCTGAATTCCATACATGGATCGGATGGTCCTTGCTACTTGTTACTAACCAATCATTGATCGGATGCCAACATGAGTCATAGATCAAATCACCCATACTCATTGAAGATTTCAACTTTAGCTTGAAAAATTTTTTTCGAAAATCTAGGATACACAAGAAACATTTTTTATACACCATGAGAAATTTTTCTTAAAGAAATCAACTTAAAGATACCATAAATATCTAAAGTACTGCTTATGATAGTGTGTAAAATTTACATAATATACATGATGAATGAAAACCAACACTGAAATTTTCAGGATCAAGCTGGAATATCCGAGCCACCCTATCTTGACTAGTCGTAGCTAAGTAACTACCCGAACTGCTCCATTTGCAACATTTTATGTAGTTGTTGCAAGAATGCGATATATTGAAACCATAATCAACAGACTTTGTTACGAAAAGCTCTCTCTCTCTAAATACTTCTTTGAAATTTGAATATTGTGGTCGTGCAATCTTTTTTCGTATTTCCTGATTATCATCGGCCTTCCGATTCTGTAAAATTTCATTTCATCTGCTGTCTGCCTCTTAAATCCTAAAGTAGCCATAATTTAAGGTTGGTAACTGACATAGGGAGATGCAAGCACAGAATCCATTCATTTAGTTGAAAATGCATTGAATTATCGGACAGATATTGATGTTTAGCATTCCGCAAATGACATGGAACAATGAAAAATTATTTGCACAAAAACAGATTTAGACGTCCAGTTGAACATCAATTACAGCAGCTGTTTCAGACATCATAATTCTTACCGTAATATTACTTGAAGAAATATTACCACTTTCTTTTTCTGACAGTACGCTCACATTCCTTTTTCTAAAAGACACACCTTCTAGTCGAGAATTCTGAAACTATGTAGAATCTTCAGAAGAACTGTTTTAAAATCAGGTAGAAAAAGACGAAAAACAAGGAGCAATGACAGTATTAGACAAACTTGTTTGAGGAAGGCAGCAATACCCATGCGATAATGTCGCGCTGTCCAGTCATCATCATTTCCCTCATTTACAGATGATGAATCTGCAAAATCCTTGCTGCTAGAACAAGTGGGTTCCTGGAAAGAAACATTCCAATAATACTATATAATAAATGTGTTTGAGTTATATCTTTGCATACTGTTAATCTGAAGAAATTTTAATACCTGATTTTCAAATAAATCTAAAATACTAGTAATACAGGTTCAGCAAACATTTAAAAATATCATAACAAATATCTATACGTATGAAGCATGCATAAAATTAATCACATAGTTTTTTTAGGGCTGTAAAGAAAAGAAACAAAAAAAGCTACTTCTCTAAAAATTAAATTTCAAACTCTTAATACACAAAAACTCAAAAAGTACTGGAAGGAAATATTAAGCAGTTTACACCTCAAGAATTGTTTCTAAAAAAGCTAATATCTGGTTCAGCAGCTACCTTAGTTACTACCACTCTTCCATTCGCATAGCCCAGTGCTAAAGCCTCTACTTCCTCAGAAAAATGCAACCACTTACAAACATCATAAGCCAAGTGTAAGCTATATATATATATGTCGAATAAAGAAATATAAAAATAAAGGGATAACAGAACAAATGAAATTACGAGTACAGTACCTTATAAAACCACAAATAAATATTAATGACTACTATAATAGTAAAATTTGCCCCTAACCTTGCCATCTATATGATCAATCGTTGCTATCATGTCATTATCCCTCAAAGATTCGCTACTTATCACACCACAAAGCATATCGAGAACATCCTTTATTACATCTTTCAACGAATTATCCTCATTTCCATAATACATTATCGTTACTTCTCTGCAAAGTGAAATTATAAATGTTTTAATTCATTTGTTCACAATCATATCATAAATATCACAATGCATTCGAGTATTACACTATAAATGCAAAAACCACAGCATCACATAATCAACGTATCATCTAACTAATCGCTTTATCTTTCTGTTGCATGCTGCAAATGGAAATATATAAATATTTCGAAAAACATAAAAGATGTAAGTGATTGGCTCTTTCCATCTGCATTAACTCAACTATTTATTCAATGTCATATAAAACTACACAGATAACAAGGACGAAGAAGAGAAGAGATAAAAGTGGGGTTGAGAAGTTAACATCATGAAAACCGAAAAAAGAGATGAAAGTAATGGTCATGTTGCAAATGTGGCAGGTGATAAGAAGTGTGATAAGAACTATGAAATGATAAAATGGTAATTAGCAAAATGTGCAATACACACCTTTCAATGCATGCAATCTTTCACACACTAACTGAAGCATTATTACCTAAACTTGAGCAAATTGACTAAACTTAATTAACTAAACCTAAGCAAATTGATCATTTAAAGTTCACGTGAAAATTGTCGCAGAAAACGAGAATACGCCACTTCTTATACCATAACTTCTGTTCTTGCCATAATTACTATAATTTTTAATTACGTAAAAATTTACTTATATATAATTCTGGTTTTATTGTTATTTGATAAGTGGAATTCATAGAAGATTCCAGCCCTAGCGAAACTTTTACAAAAACGAAGAGAAAAAAATTAAACTTTGAAACGTAATCCCAACATCAGCTGGTATTTCGCGGCCCACGCGATCCCACGTACGCGGAAGACTGTTATTTGAAATATTCCAATCTTCACATTTAACTTTACGGACTTAGTTGTACTCTTCATTTATAGAGCTTGGGCAAGTTTTTTTTTCTTAGATTTCTTTAAGAATATTTCATTGTCGATGAAATGCGTAAATTAAATAAGTTAATCTATCTTTTTCAGAGTGTGAATAATGACCGATGAGGATGAATTAAGTACGCGATATGCTTTCCTTTTGCAACCTGTAAGAGATTTGCAGAAAAATTGGGATATTGATATTAGCCATTTACTGGAAGAATTTGTTGAAAGGTTAAATATCTTAGGTGTTTTTTATGCACTGTTATCCAAAGATTTAACTATGAAAAATATGCCTTACCTGTTATGTGGAAGGTATGGTTGTATTATATTGTGATTATTTTCATTATCACTTAATAAATTTCATGAAGCTAACAACATGAGGTATTTCATAAGCCAAATATTATCGTTACAAATTCTCATCAATCTTTAATTCTTACATATATATATATATATATATATATATATATATATATTCAGGATACGAGAGTTAAGTGATCACTCAGAACAGGAAGATGAGGAAATCGGTAGTGGGGACAAATTTAATTTTGCGGAAGCAGCTATACTTATTCAAGGTTCAACAATGATATATGGCAAAAAGGTTGAATATGTTCACGGGCTTGCACAGGGTTTCTACGAGCAACTCCGTGATAAGAAAGCATCCCAAAAAAGAATTTTAGGTGATGAGATCGATTAGTTTCTAATCACTTTTGTCATTAACCTATCACAGTTTATATTAACTTTTTGGCAGCGTATAATGTGCGAAAATGTTTGCATGTTAATATGTGGATAGAATTGACAGTTTTATTATTAATTTTGAGAAATGAACGATTCAAATTATGAAAATAAAAATCGGCTGATTCCACGGAGTAAATAACTGAGTGGTAACTATATATATATATATATATATATATATATATATATATATATATATATATGGTAATGGTCTCATACCAAAATATTATTCAAAATACTTTGGTAATGGAATAATCATTTTGTTGCAGATGATGTAGAACATACCGATGACATCGATGAATTTACTCAAGAGCCGGATGATCCTTGTGATCTTATTCAATTCACAAATCTTCAAATAGTCGATTGGAAGACAATAATGTTAAAAAGTGAGGCGAAACCTCCTCAGTTACTTGCACAAGTTTGTTTTTGCTGTCATAAAAGTTGGGAGGTACTAATACAATAGTTAACAGTACTCATCTGTGTTGTATGGGAAATCCACTGATTACATGTCACACTATGCTGTGTTTACGTTTCAGTCATTCGATGTTTTATAGAATAATTTGCAGTAACAAATTGGCTGAATGATATCATTAAAGTATGTAATATCTTATATAAAATTGTGCTGATTTTCAGATACCGATCTCATTAATGCCTCTTGCTGATTTTGAAAAAACCAACATGTCGCTGTACTCATCCCGAAATCTTAAAGAACTAATCGGAAAAAGAGATGACTTCATTATTAACACTGGTTTCATCCATAAAAGTGTCAGTTTCCCTTACTTAAATAATATAAACATTATTTTTCCGGAATATTATGTCTGAGTGAGGAATAAAGCTCCAATATTTATTTATAAATAATTTTTCATTGCTTTAAATTACTGCAATTCTAATTTGGCGTTTTCTACTATCAATAAAATATTTTTGTTGATTTGATCGATGTCCTATCTGTCTGTTTTTGTGAACCATTCTCTTTTTGGCATTATCATCCCTTGTTTCGGATAATTTGAAACCATTCAATTAAAGATTTTTTTTTTGTAATGGTTAACTTTATTTAATTATGTCATGTTTGTGTTTAATCTTGACTAATGCAGGGTGCTCTTTTACTCGATTTGGCCAATGCAAAGTTCTTGGATGATTTTGTGGTGCAAGAACAAGATTATGGCAATTCTAGCTGCGCTGATACATTGATGCAACAGGGTGATGATCAGTTAGATAATTTTTCACAATAATACTAATGAGATTGAAGTATCTACTTTTACTTTGACGTATTTGTATTTGAATTACGATATAGTAATGGTAATACAAGAATACGATAGTTAGAATTATTTAATTCTATTCCTGAACTCATTTTGAATTCAATATTTTCATCTCATAATCGTCAAATTCAAGAGGAGGATATTATTAGCTCTCTTTATTTTTTGATTATATGTAAGTTTTCTATCTATTTCAAAACTCCTGATAATTTCAGCTTTTTTCAATAATGTATAATGAATAAACTATAAGATTAGCAGTAATTCCATGCCAACATTCATGACAATTTTTTTTTTTTTTTACTTCAGTGTTTTTTTGGTAAATACACATAAAGAATGAAAGAGTGCAGAGCAATGCACTAATGAATAACTGTTACAGATTTAGCTGATAACGAACACATTGGTAACTGTACTAGTGAAGTGGAGAAAGTTCGTCGTATGACATCTGCTACCAATCTGAATACGATAACATGTCCTAATACGAGTCACGTGGAACTTGTTAATGATAGTGTTGTTGATGTAAACATGATGAGGGATGATGCTGGCAAGAACTGTATACAAAACAATGAAACTGATGGTTTAGGATTTGATGGACCAGCATTTGGGGATATTGAAAACGATGAGGATGGTGATCGTCATCCGGTTTGAATTATAAATACATTTAATATATAAACTTGACGATTATGATTGAAAATAGTCATTTTTCCTTCCTTTTCTTAAAAAAGAAACCATAGTGAAATTTTGGATTATAGTGTGATAATTTCATTTAAAAATTCAAAATCTGATTCAAAGCATAGGCTGATGAAGAAGCATTTGATGGGGCAGATGAAGATGAACCTGTTATGGATCTTTTTCGATTACAGAAATGTAAACATGGACCTTATCGGGTATTTTTTCTTTCCTATTTTCTAACTGCTGTCGATTTGCAACTTCACTTTTTTATATGCTCCTTGCTAATTTCTTATTTTTCAAAGAAGTTTAAAGGAAAGAGGATCTTCCAAAGGCAAGTTTATAGAGTTCGATGTTCTAAAAATATTTCACTCAACTGCTGTTCACATATTTGATTTTTTTTTCTGGAAGTTGTATAATTGATCATAATGGCATTATTCAAATTCATATTTTCCCTTGTTTTATAAAGACATTATTTTAGGCTTGCAAGCCTACTTTTGTACCGGAACAAGTCGAAAAACGCCGGTTAAAAAAAAGAGAAAAGTTGAAAACCTTTTCTACTCTCAATGAATTTCTTCAACGGCACGTCTATCATTCGTTACCGAAAGGAATTACGCATACCCTAGATGATGATTTCTCAATTATTTTTGGGAAGTGAGTTTTTACGCTAAACATTTAGCAAAAAAACATTTAGCATTCCAGTTGAGCTGATTTTCTTTATTTTTAGACTTATCCGAAATCTAGAAAGACATCGAATGAATGCAATTAAGGAGCGCGCTTTGCAACATTCTGGATTGCAGCAGCAGTCAGGTTAGGAACTATGCTATAACTATGCGAATTGACCAATTTATATAACTTATTTTCATTTGTTGAGTGAAATAGTTTGTTTACTTTGGTATACCTTATATTGATAAACTTTGATATAGATTTCTTGAATTTATTTTTGTAGGTGATATCCAATCAGATGAGGATGAATTGGAGGTAGATGAATATGAAGCCATTAACAGTGGTTATTCCGATGATGAAATCGAGGGTGCTTCTGGTGTTACCGGTAAGTACTCTTCATTTCTCTCATAAATAGTGCTGCAAGTAATTTTTTGATCTTTAACTTTTTAACTTAGGTGACGGTAATCTGACTTTTGCTGATATACCCAACGATGATTTGGAAGATAGAGTTCACGTTTCTTCGATGTATATGAATTTTGACGACCCGGATCTTCTTTTAAAACCTGCAGAACAAATGACCTATCAGGATTTGCTGAAGGTTCACTTACAAAAGTGAGGAGATTATTCTTTTTTTTTTTGAAACAAATTAATAAAGTTTTTGTTAACAACAGACTTGTAGGTGATCGTTCTGACTGCATTTTTTTTTTTCTCAATGCGATCATTGCCGTGTAACGAGTAGGAAGGATTCATTTAACATTCAAATTGAAATGTGTTTTCATTTATTGTTTTTCTGTCAATAAGACTGCTGTAAACTTCCGTTAGAGGGTTGAAGATGTTACAGTTTGTTATCTCTTACCTCTCTAATTCCTTCTTTAATCCACTTCATTTTTTTTTCCCGTCATTTTTGATTTTAGTTTTGTTCATTAGAAGATTTCTTTCGTATTATTGTTAAGGGGTGCTCATATTAGTGTGTTTTCGTTCCTGATTCTACGTTTTTGTATGTTTTTCTTAAATGGGATAACGCAGTAAAACAATATATGGTGTAGGTATTGGTCATCAGCGGAAGAAACTACATCGAAATTATGCAAGCGTGTGCAACAGTGGGAAGAAAAAATTCAACTTTTATTGGAAAAAGAAGAAACACGTCGAGAATTTAATATACACCAGTATGGTACCGAACTCTTGGAGCAATATGAAGACATTGGACAGACAAAAACTTTCACTGAGGTTATTATTAGTTCATTAAAACTTTTTTGGATTGTTCAGTCGAGCATAACATGTTTGATGTGAACATATTTTAAATAGAAGGCTATCAAGAGATCTAATATAGACTTTATTGACAAAAAAATCCAACCGTTCTTGGAAGAGGAAACTTGTATTTTCACATTTCGTGTTTTTTTCCTAGATCAAATGGAGAATTTGGTAGTGACGATAATTTAGAGAGGAAGAAATAGAAATCCTCGTGTATTTCAGACATTGCATCTCATTTCATTGGTTTTTCAATGAATTGAAATGTGATATCTGAAAATTCTCGTTGCGATGAGTAAATTATTTGTCTATGATGAATTTCTCAATGGAGTTTATAACATTGTATCCTGTATCAGTTATTTGAATCTTTGTTGATTGGGAATGCTTTCTGTTTTTCTAATGAAGTTTCTCATTTCAGCTTATGGAGCATGTAAGCACGCGGTATGATATCAGCCGTTACTATTTAGCATCATTAATGCTTGCAAATACTGGAAATATTGAGATGGATTTTGGCTGTGAAAGTGAATATATGAAAAAAGGAAAAGGTTTAGCATTAAAACTACTCAAAAATGAACGTCATCATCAACAATTTTCAGAGTCTCATGCGCTCTCCACTTAAACACTAAATGAAATATTAATTCGCACTCAAAAAGCTTTGTGCATATTTCTTGTTCATGTCTTTAAAATATATAGTAAAAATATATATCAAAGGGATGCAATTCAAGTGTAGAACGGAATTTCTTCCTGAAAAAAGAATTTCATTCTTTCCATTTTTCCTCGGTAATGTATTGTTTTCTGCGTTCCAAACATCATATACTTAGCCATTCGAAGAAGAAAAAAGTGGTGGTTTGCCAAATTTAAGAATTAGAAATCTTTTCCATGAGATGAAAATCATATTGTTCATTTCTTTAATTATATTAATAAAAGTACTATCACTGCCTAAATGATATTTTCAATTCGACCAATTTTTCACATTTCGATTACTGTTTTATATGAACTTTTTGAATATTTATCTGAATATTTCATAAATTTCATATTTGTGACTTTTGTTATGAGACATATTTGAAATCTGACAAAATTATAGCAATCAGCGTGATGAACTGGCAAAGAGAATCGGTCTTGTTATTTTTAGTTTTTTATTTCGCACATTTCATATATACCTTCTGAATGGTCAACTAATTAACATCGAGTTGCCCTTGAATAACCACTAACTCTTTATGGACATAATTTACCTTACTGCAAAATCAGTGGGTTACAGCTGGGAATAATAATTTTCAATTCTCTCATATGGACGGTGCATCTTTCTCGTGGTGTCATGGGAAACAAAAATGTGTAGACTAAGTGGATATGTATGGAAAATTTTATAAAATTATTCCTGAATAGCTCTGATGAAGCCAGAATAAAAGAACCAGCCACTTCCCAAAATAATTATTCAATTTTCCAATAATAAAGTTCTCGCAAAAACTTTATATTGATCTATCATGACAAGCTTGAAAATGTCATGTTACTTGTTTCGCAGAACTTCTTTTCGATTACTTTACCTTATGAACCACTGATATTTCTAACATATCTCTTTTTATACGCTGGTGCTGATATTTTAAGAAACAACTGAAAGCACCAGGAATTCTCACAGCTCATTTTTGTGATCATTCATATCATGCATTAGTTGAGATGGCGTTATTAGAAAGCAGTCTGTTGCCATAGGATGACCTGCTTTCAAGGTAATTTAGAAGATAGGAAAAGTAGGCCACCTCTTGAATTTGAAGCATTCACATCAAACATGCCCAACAATAATCTAAACATTCTTCTACAATACCTCTATTCCATAAGATTTCAAAGAATCAATATCCATTTCACCACTAATCTCAAAATTATAGTGGAAGCTGACGAAGAGAACTGCAAATGTTCAAGTATTAAAGAACTTGTCAACTGAACACTTTCAATGCAAGAAATTTGAGGACATGTCCTTAAGACAATACTTTCTCTTTGGTACCTTTCTTCGACTGTTGTTACCTCATATTTCTCACAGCATATTTTCGATCTTTACTAGTTAAATTATCCAAAATATGAAGGTAAGTGATAGTCCTCTGAATTGTTGGTTTGCTCAAAATTAGTCCTTACGCTAGAATATAAGCAAATAATAGTTCCATGCTTCCTTATATCTAACATTCTTGTTTAAAGGCGATTAAATATCTTAATGAAGCATAAAGCAGGGAGAAGTACATGAAATTTCTCAAATCCTGCTCACTGTAATATCGAAAATGTAAAATTCGTTGTTTTGAGGCTTCAATCATCAGGGAAATTGGTAGGAAGTAATTTTATTACAATATAATTAAACCAAACAGAATAATTCTTCATCTCCTAAAATGCAAATTCGATATATCAAGTACAATTACAACTTCACGGTTTCATCACTTGTCAACTGCAAATCCGAACGACGTTTTAACAGTTCTAATGCTCGTTCACGTTCTATTGTTGCTGCATCAAACGGTTCAAGTAAAGATGGCGTCAAATTATCCGTTGTTCGTTTCAGCTCTTCGTACAAAAGAATTGCTGTACCCGTAGATTGAGATAATATTTTCAAGCATGATATGACTTCGACGAATTTCTGGAAATACAATTCAGTACCATTCCTCATTTGAACTCTTTATTTTCAAGAATGATTACTATAGTTCAATTTTCATTATTTTTATAGAAATCACATACCGGTTCATCGAGTGTTTCTAGGTTAATAGCGTTAGTATGATGATTGTAGAGAGAATTAAGCACAGGGATGAGACTATTCGTTACATCATAAAGTATCTGTGCAGCTCCGTATCCACTGAAATATATATTTTGGAGTTTAAAAGGATCTGTCACTTGGATTTTTTCGCTAATGCTAAGATCTACAATTTAAGTGATTGAAGCACAAAAAACAAATAAACAAACAACATTCACTTGAGTGATATAGTTGTAAGCATTTGAAGCAACACTTCCGCTACTTTTTCATTCAGCATTTCATAAAGTTTAGTAGCTGAGTGAGGCGATATAGCCTTATTAACATGTCCAAGTAGTCGGCGTACTTCTAGCAGAAACGGACAAAATGAAGGAGTCAGATCGAATGGTTTACTTGCTTCCCACGAATACCTAAAATAGGTATTTTCTCTTAAAAGTAAAAAAGATGACTTCTCAGTTGGGTATTCTTCCAATAATTACATTTTCATCTGTAAATTCATATAATAGAATTATTTTTTTAGCTTTATACTAGAATTACGTGTTTTTTCATATCTATATAATAACAGACTATTCTTACGTATTATTACCCAGCAAAAGGAAGCTGCAATCACGTAACAATATGTAGTTCTCCAAACAAACAAACCATAACAACAAACTTCTTCAGAATAATTCCTAACTGCAGTCGATAAGTTGAAAGTTAAGAAAGAAAAATACCATTGCTCACGTTGATAACGACTCAGTGAGGCACGGATATGTTGGTAGAATGCAGCTGTGAGATCTTCAGCCTTTTGTCGCCATAAATGCCTATACATATTGGCTACATCTTCGAAAACACCTCGAAAATGAGTTCTCTTTCCAAGCGCTTGAATGCGTATGAATATGTCCACTTCATTCCATTCATCCAACACATAAGCTAAGTACCTGCACAAATGCAACTGCCCTGAATAATGAATGATAACAAATAAATCCGTTAAAATTTTATTATTTAACGTTTTTATTTAATACAGATATAATGAAGGCATTATAAATCTTTTTTTCTTTTTTTTTTTTTTTTTTTTTTTTTTAGAAGAGATAATAATAAAGAGCAATCTTAGGTTGTTCTAAAGTAGTTAATGCAATTCTATGGATACTGCTCACATCTCTTCTAAAATAATAGTTTATAAGCTTACATTCTACCACCTATAGCATTAAATTTCAATCCTTTAATGCCAAAAAACTGAACCATTGAATTTTAAGCATACCAAGCAGAGTTTAAGATCTGAATAAAGGGCTTTTCCCATGGAGAGCCAAGCTGTTGAGAGATATGTACGAGACGTAGCCGGAAATCATCCAACATGAAGATCTACAAGTAAATCAGCATCTGATACATCTCATATTCATATACATCTAACTTTTTATACATATATATATTTTTTTTGCATCTGATATATATCTAACTTTTTGTACTGCATCCTAAAACTACCTGGTATGGCAACACTCTATACACCTTCCATATATAATAAAAACTTGTGAAAACAATGCCACTAAAAAAAAAAGTTAAAGTACTGGTGACTTCCAATATTAAATTAAGTTTTTTTTACCCCTCAATACCCATCAGAGCGTGGCCGAATACGTTTACCTGCACGTTCAAGAACTGTGACTGCACATCCAAACTCTCTATCCAACGATAACGTTCTGTAATTGATTCAATCATCAATAGGAATTGATCGGTACATTCTGGTGCTTGTTGCTGGAAAAATTTTCTGTCTTTTCTCTATGCTTTTGATATTCAAATTTAGAATATGTAAATTATTAACCAGGGCTTCAAAAAATACATGACTGTGTATACCATATCGACATCTGAAAAGGTGTGATATCGGTTGTTCCAGCAATCCTCTCCACAAAGCACATTTTCTACTCCTGCAATACAGCTCTCACGTTCGAGCTGTAGCCATTTCAGTAAATAAATATCTTCGCACAAAACAACCAGCACATTACCCGGACGTATCGGAATAGCAATATCTGTAAATCATGAGGTAGCTAGAAATAATACATAATGGATGGAATCTGAAGAGAAAATCTAAGAAAAAAGATCATTTAAAAGCTAAATCACAATAGTATGTTTAGTTAAGTATGACAAAGTTGTCGTTCTCACAGATCATAATAACAACAGATAACAAACAATGATTGTACATGAAGAAAAGAGAGATGTCTACCTTGCAACTCGTTTTCGAAGGCAACACACTCATCAATAAGATGAGAGAACAATTCAGGATCGTCTTGTACTTCCTTAACAATATTTTGCACTTTTTTCTGTGCCAAATTCATTAGCTTATTCACATATTCAGTCACCATTTCATTTCGTTCAGCCTTGAAAAACAATAACTTTTAGGTTAAGTAAAAAAAGCAGTGCGTTAAATCCGCTCGGAAATACTATTTCAGTTAATTGCTTTCAAAAGATACAAAAATGCTGTTTACATCTTTTAAAATTCAAAAAAAAAGAAAAAAAAAATGAAGTTTACATCATTCTTAACAATTAGTAGCAAAATGGAGCTAATCAGATCAACATTTGCTGTTATCCAAGTGAGTATTTGCGTAAAAAACCATTCTGGTTTAGATGAATCATTTGTTTTCTGCTCCGTGAAAAAGTGGAACTGGAATCGCCTCTCCACTGGACCAACTAGTTCAGTCAAAAGTTTTGATCTTGAATAAAGTCAATCAAAGCACTGCAGTTTGAATGTGATTTATAAACAAAGCAATATTATTTTGATAAATTTACTTAAAAGTACCATTACACAGTAAATGCATGCAGGAAAAAGTGAAGCTTCCCAAAATTGTACCTGTCACAGTGTAAAGTAACAATACCATTATCCAGAATACTGATACATTTCAGCAAAGTAGCGATTTGCTGAATTAGCTTCTCATGAGTTTTCAAATCAACAGGTTCTTCAAGTGGGTAACGAATTTTCTTCAATAAATCTCTAAGAGAACCCGAAACAAGATGTTCTGTTTCATTGATCAGCTGCTTCCTCATGTTATCAATGTTTTTAGCTTCATTTTCATCCTAAATAAAAAATTTCGAATATTTTAGCATCTCCGTTTTTTTTTCCAACCATTGTCCTTTTGAGTATATATATAAAAATCTCTTCAACTTTCTTCCCGACCTATTTTTGATACTACCTAAGAATTAGGAAGTTTTCCACATACCAATTTCAAATCCGAATTAGCGTTCTGTTTCAGGAATTGAATATTGTCATATAGCAGAAAAAAGTCAGAACCATTTATTACTTTCTTAATCTTTGATATTGCAAATGTCAGCTTATGAGCGACTATAAGGTAATTCAACTCTTTCATTTTCTGCGCAACACATTCCAAATGATTGTGAAGATCTGGTGCATTCTGAAAGAAAAGCTTTTTTCAAACTACTACCACTCCCAATGAGGAATAAAAGGACTCCGCTGTAGGTGTAAAAGAGAACTCAAATCTATTTAGAAGTTTGGTAGTACAAAACTGCGATAATCCAAAACGGAAACAATACACTAGAATTAATAGTACAAAATAACCTGCTTAAGCGACGACCACAACCGCTCCTGTTGATCATGATAGTTCTTCAAAGCACTCTGAACCTTTTGCTTCAAGTAAACCAATTTCTTTCGAAAACGTCGCAAATTTGATAATTGAGCTGGTAGATTCTCTTGCATATAGCACATTCTTTCCTATAAGCATAATATTTCTGTTTATAGCTAAATAATCAAGCAAAAGTTCATCGCTAGAATAATATAGATGCATATGACTTACAAAATGCTATTTCGTTCACCACTCATCATAAGAGAATACACACAACTAACATCAGACAGTGAACAACACTTGCAACAAAAACACTATAATGATAACAGGAAAGCTAGTAACAATTGGAAATAGGACAACACCAATTTACATCTAGTTTGGATACCTTCAAATCATTCAAAGAAATCTTACACTGATTTCTTCTTAAAGAATGAGATAAGCATAAGTTTAACATCAAAATCTTTGAGGTACATCAATGTTGCAGTAAGAACATGTAAAGCCAGCTATCGACATTTCGTCTCCTCACTACTGCAATCTTGCCCTTTTTCTATTCGTCAAGATAATTTAAGGTACTGAAATATCATAACAAAAGGAAAACACTTATTTGAATTTTACACTGCTCCGCATCAAGCTCATCCTGAATAGCGCGGAAACCACGAAAATACTGATGGACATCAGTAGCAGGTAATTTTGCAAGTCTTTCTACCAATTCAGAAATCTGTAAAACAATATATATTAAAAGATAAAAAAACAATATAAAACTAATAAATTAGTTCAAACCTAAGTTAGTAATAATTCCTTCGCTACAAAAAAGAAACAAAAATACAATGAGATTAGTAAATTAGTTCAAACCTAGGTAACAACATTAACGCAGAAATTTCATTGCTACTTAGCAATCTTCTCTGATAATAGAAAAGGTGCTAAAAAACTTTACTACTTTTTCCCTTTTTTGATATAAAAACTTTTTATTAAATAGTACACTAAAAGTAATGCATAAATGCATGTAACACTATTTGCAAACTAAACTATTTTAATTACCTATGCACATTTACTGCAAACTTGCAGATATCTACACTGAATAAGGTAAGTTTAAAGTGGAGAAAAACTTACCCGGGAATCCCCGGAATTTGCATCGTGCTGCACCATTATTATTTAGATTATTATTTAGTTCCACTGACAGTTCTCTCGTAATCATATATGTGTATATACACATATATTACCACCGACTACCGAAGCAGATAGCGCCATGTATACCATCGTAGCAAATTAATTCTATCCGTGTCGCATAATCAACATAAAACCGTAAGTGTAAACCAACTCTCAATCAACATCTTTGATGTATCCTGTGTAACTTCCGTTGGTTTCTGACGAAAATTTCAATCTCATCGTTGTTTTTTTTTTTCTTTTAATGCATCAGAATGTTGACTGTGCTTTGCATATCATAAAGTGCTCATTACTGGGAAATATTTGGGTTACATGTTTTACTATTATTTTCTAATTTCAAATTTATTGGCAAATTTCTTCCGTTGGTTTCTGACGAAAATGCCATCACATTATCAACATTATCACTATCAAATTATCATATTATCAATATTTATTATTTAATATTCATTCATTTACTGGTAAGTTTAATGTTAACTCGTACGCTTTCTTAAGTAATGCATTTCAACGCGACTGTCATTTGCATAAATGTGGAAGATATAAACAATGGATCTGTTCGAATTGAGCACTTTAAAAATAATCACAAAATGATAGAAATAATTATAGAAAATCATAGAAAGATAGAAGTAATTAAACAACAGGAATGATTCGGGAATAGTGGAAATGATAAGATTAAACTTAGGTGAGGGGATATTTTCAACTGAGAAGATTTCACGAAATAGCTTTATGAAATATTAAAGAAAGATTGTTTCTTTGAATTTGAGTATTATGGAGATGGAAAAATAAATGATAGAATCAAGTTTCATTTTAAATCAAATGGAGTAAAACAAAAATATATCAGAAATGGTAATCGTAACTTTGTTAGCTTATGACAATTGACAACAAGCATGGTGTTAGTTTATTAAATCAGATACGTACATTCTTGTTGTTGTGACTAACTGCGGTTGATTTTTCCGGAATTTAATCCCGAAAAAATCAATTTATTGCGTTTGCTACATTCATACAAATAATATTATGCGTGATTATACTTACAAGTTGTATCAATTATGAATGACCAAATTGTGGAAGAAATTCTCAAGAAATGAGATGATTGATCGCTATGCTATATGATTATATTAACTGATAACAGCAATGTTATTAAGTTGAGAAATGATTGCTGCGATGAATATCGAATTAATTTTCAATGTAAAACTTTGAAAATTAAAGATTTGTGTTGAAAATTGTGTTTCATTTTTTAATATTGTTTTTTTTTTTTTTTTTTTCCTGTTTTTCTCTTTTCTTTTTTGTGAACTTTGTGATACGACGGTACAGTGATTACATATTATGAAGAAATGACAAGATATGAGTACTGTTGTATGCCTACTATTGAGTTGCATTGATAAAATGGAATTTAAATGAATGATGTTTGAATAATTTTTTTGCATTTATAATGCTAAACGATTTTGTTTGATAATTTATTCTATCAGAGAAGATAACTGATTAACTGCTCGATCCATCGAAATATTGTTTATGGTTTATTTCAGATATTAAGAAGTATCTGGTAACCAGGTGATCGGTACCACATTCTTGTATGATATGATATTTCGACGAGCATGTGGTCTAGCATTTTATGCATCCAAAAGGCCAATATCCACTCTCAGGTGTTATATCTGCCTTATCTTTTTTCCTGTTCTCCCAGAATAATTCATTCCAATTTTCTATGATTTTATTTTTTCAAGTTTAAAAAATGATCTAGTTAAATTTAATGGAATTTTTTTTAGGCTGAGAAGTTGTTTAGTAAGGTTTAGTGTTTATGAAACTGAGACGCGAACCTTTCACAGATCTTGTGTACAGTTTTTGTATGACAAGAGTAAACTGGAGGAAACACTGAAAAGGCTGAAAGAGCAAGCGACATTAGAGGAAAAAGAAGGGCAAGCACGTAAACAGGTTAGGATGCACTGAAATAACTTATTTTCAATATTAGCATCAGATTTCGGTGAAAATAGCTCTAATATAACGTATTCGAACAGTGACGACTTTTATAAATTTTTAATCAGGGGATCATTTAATACGGAATATGAAGAGCTACTAATGATTTTAGCAGAGATCTGAAAAAAGCTTCCGTAATCACTAGAATCTCAGGTTTGTTAATCATTTTTTCTTCTTCAAGAAATTCAGTATTGCAGATGGTAGAAAAAGCAAAGCAGCAAGTGGCTCTGGAACCTGTATACATACGATGGCCGAAAGCCTTCAAAAAAGGTTGCAAACATTACTATCATGGTTTCCGATTGTTATTTCTGGAAATGCGACTAAGTGCCAAATATTTATGGAGATTCTTGCGTAGAAAACCGCTGTTACGTCGTGAAAAACAACAGCTGGTGAGAACTCTGTCCGATGTACTACGACTGATTCCATTTTCTGCTTTCGTTATCGTACCTTTTATGGAATTTACATTACCTTTCTTCCTAAAATTATTCCCAAATATGTTGCCAAGCACATTCAAGGACGCTACTAAAGAAGTGATTGCTTTTTTATTATTACTTTATTTTATATTTTTCCTGAAAAATCGATTTGTATTTTCACATTTAGGGGATAGAATTAATTTTATCAATTATGACCTGCTGTCAATCTTTTTTGATTATATAAATGCAAAGGTATTACTGAATGTTTCAATGAACTTCAAAAAAGTAATTCATGTGTACAGTAATGGAGGTGACAAGTTTCCATATCCTTTCCTGCTCCCATTTTTTAGTAAAATGTGAACTTAATATATGGCAGATTAAAAAGCCGAAATAGTTATATTTGATTTAGGATGCAGTAGCTTTGGTGAGGCTCTTCTTGTTATGTCATAGCAATTTACTGGCAGCGTTGTCGTTACTTTATGCAACTTTCTTATGAAAAATTATTCACTCTGATGTATTGCAGGAGGAAAAATTGCGAAGAAAACTGACGGCAAAACTGGAAACAGCGAAACTACTCCAAGCTGCTATGGAAGAAATGGCTTTATATAAAAAGAAAAATGCTAAGGATGATGATAAGACAGCCAGCATTGCTGTTGAATTTGCAGAATTCATAAAGAAGGTTTGCATCCATAAAATAAATGTTATATATACTCAAATTAGAACACAAGGAATTCTTTAGCCTTATTTTAAAATTATTTTAGATAAAATTTTACAAGATATATTGTAGTTGAGAATTTTCGTTGATTATCAGAGTTTAATTGATTTAATTGATTTTCATAGAGGAGATATGGCTATGTACAAAACTGTTACAATTTTCAGGTGCGTTCAGAAGGCAGTTATGTTACCAACAAGGATCTTCTCAAGTATATTAAGTTGTTTGAAGATGAACTTACGTTGGACAATTTGCCAGCTAACACACTTCGAGCATTATGTCGTCTTTTGAATATTCAACCGTTCGGTTCACTTGAAATTATCCGATTTCAGTTATCGTTGAAATTGCGGGCTCTAAGAGCAGACGACCAGGTATTGGTGCAACAGTTTTCATCAACTTGTAATGCTATTTCTGTTTGATATCAGGGTAATTCTCTATCTGTCGATGTTTACCTTCCCGATTAACAGCACAGTCTGATATCAACTCTCATAAGATCCATGATACTGCCTCAGCTGTTTTTGTTTGTTGCTACTATGTTTGTTCAACTATTTCTAGATGTGTAATTGGAAAATTTACTTTTAGTGTTACTTTAATTTTACATGAATATGCTTGCTTTTCGGAAATTTGATTTACAGACATTTTTTTATGAATGTAATTTCTGGAAGAGAAGAGAATTTCTTATGAAAATTTTGGGTTTTTTTTATTTTCTTTTAGGAAATAGCTTTAGAAGGTGGAGTGGATACTTTAACGGTACCTGAGCTCCAGCAGGCATGCAGAGCACGTGGGATGCGTTCACTGGGAATGAGTGAAGAGCGTCTTAAAGAGCAGGTAACGATTATTTTCTTCAGTTAAATTTTGAAATTTAAAAGAGTATCTCGCCTCATTTATTTAAAAACAAACCAAAAAAAAAAAAAAAAATGTGTTTAGGATTTTTTTTTTTTCTTTTGCATTTAATGATGGTATTGAGATCTTTGATTCATTTAAGTTAAAACAATGGTTGGAGCTATCTCTTAATGATAAAGTGCCGCAATCATTATTGCTCCTATCACGCACTATATATCTGCCAGAGGATATCACATTTATGGATCGTTTGAAAGCGCTGATAACAAGTTTGCCAGATAGTAAGTTTTATTCTAAATCGAGATTCATTTTCTTTTAGAATATTATTTTCTTTCAGTAGAATTTGTGATGAACTGCTGGTTTTAGATGTTCTCAGTTTAACCGTGGTTAAAATTTTCAGATATCGCTGAGGAAACTCGTCAAAATTTGGCAGAGATTGAAGGTGATAAAGTAAGTTATGGAGCAAGGCTTCGCCTTATACAAAATATTGAGAAAGCCATCGACTCTGAAAGAAAAGCGATGGAAGAAGCTAAAAAGAAGGAAGCAGCCAAGGTTAAAAGTTTATTTCCTTTTTTTTTTTTTTTATTTCTTATATATTCTATTTAAATTCACATTATGAAATGAAGATTTTAAGTGTTGGAAAGGTGGCTAATTATTCCTCATTTCTAATGCTTGAACAAATCGAAATCGATTTTTCTCCTTGTTTGGACTATTTGATAACAGGCGCTTTAAGCTCAAATTGGTAAATCGAGCTTGATATGCGGTTTCTGTGTCTCATATTAGTTATGGATTGTCGAATAATCCTAATAAGGTTTGATTATTCAGAAAGCTGAAGAGGAAAAAATAGCGACCGAAGCAGCAAAAGCAGCAGTTAGTCCAGAAGTTGAAACCGTAGCCAAGTTTCCTGTGAAATCACCTAGCCCAGACAAAGCTTCAGTTTTGGAACTTACGCAAGCAGCAACACCCCAAGAGAAGACCATTACGGATGCAGGCAGTAAATTGCAAATTGATGAAGTAAAGATTGATGAATTGCGATCTTGAAAGCGAAGTTTAAGAAATAAAAAGAGGCAGCAATCTTTTTAATTGAAGTGTAGCAGAAATCTTTTTAACTGGAGTTGATATATATTAAGAGACATAATTTGCGTGTAAAATTATTTTATCATTCCTTGATTTTTCCCAGTATTTTTGAATGATTCTTTATATACATATATATTTTATATATGGTTTTAATCTTCAAATATTTTTTAGGAACATGTGCAGTCAATAGAAAATGTTATCCATGGTAATGCGATTTCAGAAGCAAAGTATGATATCAGAGAATTAAAAGAACAAATTAGCGAACACAATGAGGTTATTATTGTCCATTTATTTATTTGCTATTTGACAAATAATTCTATAAACACAATGTTTATGTAACAACGATTGAGGGAATTTCATTTCAGGATCTAGAAGAATTGGATTCATTTATGAAAGATCTAAAAGAGCCTAGGGGGGCTAAAATACTTCGTGCACGTGTGAACAAAATGATGAAAAAGGCGGATAAATTGTTAGAAAAGCTTGATGAAGACAAAAAAGCTATTGGTGAAATATCTGAAAGTGCTGCCGATGAGGAGAAAAAGATGAAAGAGTAAGTTTTTTGCATATTTATAGTTAAGATGTACATTAAACAATGAAAAATCACTGAATTTTGTGATTATATTCCATGGAACACTTCGATTTAATCATTTTGAATCTCATAAAATTCACTGCTTGCAGAGAAAGGTTGATGAGAGTGGAAGATCTCATAGGTAAAATGCAAACTCTACAGAAAATGAACGATGAGGACAAAGAAGAATTTCGGAAAGTATGTTTCTTTCATCTTTAAATTAAAACAGGCGAAAATCTTGACTCGGATTTGCTTGTTATTTGAATATGTATTAAGAACGATAATTGACCTTTTTGATCAAAGCCATTATTTTCCAGATATTACAAGCTCTTGATGAAGATAGTGATGGTGTAATAAATGTTAATCTTGTTTTACATGTATGTCTTTACATTTGATTTTATTTTATTCATCGTTATGAGGATAATCTATCGTAAAACCGACACTTTTTATACTTTTCACTTGGTTACTGCTGGAAATAGTGACGGAATTAATTTATAAATCAGCTTAAATATTTGATTGGTGCTGAGCTGAAAATATTAAATAAATATGTCTTTGTTAACAATGAGAATATATTGTAGGCATTGGCTTTGTTCGGAAGCCATAAAGAGCTTCGTTTAACAGCAGAGCAGATCAAAACGATTGTAGAGATGCTAAAGAAAGAGGAACATATAGAAGCGATGAAAGCATTCCTTGCAGGAACTGCACCCTATCCTCCCTCTTCTTCTTCCTCTTCAGCAGTTGCTGCTTCTGACTCTGATTTTTCGGCAGATCCGACAATGATTATCAAACAGAAGTTTTCGGTAGATCCGACAAAGACCAGTAATGAAACGCTAAAAAACCAAACACTTAATAAATTGCCGACGGACATGAAACAGAATAAATAGTCTTTACGCAAAATTGTTTAATTTATTCTGTTATTCCTATTCGTTTTCAAGTTTCATAAACGAGGATTTTTAAATTTCATTGCATATTGCAACGTATTTTAAACATATTGAGAGTTGATTTCCTCTTGTTTTTGCTAAAGTTTATTATGATAACTTGTCTGTGATAATTTATGCCGATATTAACAGCAGAACATTCTAAGAAATGATTATCGATCTCTTTACGAATTGAGTCGATGTCATTTACCATCCACAGACATACCCTATTGATTCGATATGTGTAATTCCTAGAGATAAAGCATAGAATTTAGACCATATGTCAATAATTTCTGTAAAAATGCTTTGAAATACTATTTACTAATGAAATTAATGAATATCATGGGATTGAGATTTTATTCATTTTGCTTTTTGATTTATTTATCAATTTTCAAAATCCTTCGTTGGTTTCTATGCTTCCTAATTTTTATTTCCAATATTATATACTTCATTTTTAGGTTCTCTTTGTGTATTTCAAAAATATCCACTGATTTATACTTTACTATGATGCTTAAAGTAATAATTAACAGAAGTGTATTCAACAACAGTGATTTTACTTAGGTACGGCAAGGAAATTTTTCTTGGAAATGCAGATATTGATCTAGAAATAAAAACCTATAATTCGATTTGTTGTACCGTATATATATATGAGTGTCCGAGAGAACTACATTATTTTCGGATATTATTTCAGGTCCACTTAAACTTTGAGAATGAGTAATCTCGGAATTTCTTAACAAACTGCTTATATCTCAATAACAACTTTTTTTGAAACGTTAAATTTATTTTTACTACAGATAGGATTGATTAATCTATTAAAGCTGATGTTTTCTTCAAAATTGTGTGTAATGCTAATAAGGAGAGCAAAAGAGTTAATTTTGAAATGGAAACCTTTAATGACACCAAATCCGTAAAAATATGATTTAATCTAATTTCTGTTTTAACAACAACTTGACCTCTGTGTTAACCAGTGTCATACTTTCTTATTTATCCTAAGTTTTTTTTCTGAACCTATTTTCTGACCACTAGTATTCATTAAATTAATAGCTTCATTTTGATCTCTTTCTCCTGTCTTCCAATTTTTTAAACTAAAAAATTTTGGAGGGAAAGGAAATCCTTCTTCTGAAACTTTTTTTTTAATTTAAACTGCATTTTTTGTCCATAGATGATAAATTCGCAACATATTTATCTAAAAATTCTATCATTGTTATTCTCTATCATATTGCTCTATCATTGTTATCTTTATGATTGATATATTTGCATATATTAATAGATCATATATTACCTAATAATTCCTAGAAAAATTATCAGTTCATCTACATACTTCGGTAAAATATGAAAACTTGTAAACTTTTAAATTATCGTATTTTACACCATTTTAATAAACATTTAATTCATTACAAATGTTCACATTAATGTTCCTTCTGATGATTTCCGTGAATGTGATTGAGCGTAATGATTCCTTTCAGCATTTGTCGTTGTTGTTGTTATCAACCTAAAATGAATTAAGAATGATTTGAATTGATTAGCTAGAATTATCATGAAATAAAAAGATCTGGTTATTAATAGATAGAAATTTATTAATTAATTGGTGGAAAATAGAATTATTAGTAGATAAAAATGAAAATATTAACTCCGAAGTTATAAAATCATTCTTTTTCTTTTTTAATTAAGCACAGCTAATTATCTTTTTTTTTTCATATTTTAAAAATTTAGTTTTATAAAGAAGTAATTGTTATTCTTAAGAACGAATAATATAATTATTACATATATGTTTAAAATTTTTATAATTAACTTAAATAACCTTTTTGGTTCAACTTTTTGAAATGCGCTACTATGTTTTTCATTCTTTTCATAGAGAAGTCGTTCAATTAAAAGATTTTTATCAGCCAGTTCCTATAACAATTAATTAATTAGTTTACTTACCCATTAAACAAAGAAAGACAGAGAAGAGTGATAAAAATTATATTAATTTAGAGAAGTATTACGTAGAACGAACCTGACATAATTTAATATTTTGTCTTCGATAGTATTGGCTATGATCATCACTCGGTTGTGGCATTTGTGTCTTTATCTTAAATAACACAATAATTTAATTCAATTAATTAATCGTATTATTTTATTTGAATAGCGTATAATATATAAACATGAAAATAATGTACTGTTTACTATTGAAAGTTTAATAAAATTTCATCAAGAATTTTTCTCAATTTAAATAAAAATACAATTTAATTAGTTTGGAGAAGAATGAATCAATTTCAAAGAATGAATGATAAAATTTTAAATCTGTAGTTGAGATTTTAAGAATTGAATATTTGCTTGGCGCCTAATTTAAGCGTTGTTGGCGTAAATGATATACTCATGTAAGGAAAAATGCTAACCCGTAACTTTTTCAGGATTAAATTCAGTTTTTTTCCTTTAATTATAAATTTTTTATATAATTTTTTTTGATATATATAATAAATTAAATATTAATTCACTAACTGTTAATGTCAACATCTCATTGCTAACGGTAATTTATATAAATCCGATTTAGTTAAAATCAATTTCAGACTGTATTACTAATCCGGAAAATGTGAGCAATATACCGGAACCTGTAAATTAGAATGCGTTGGGAATGAATGTTCACTGCTTTCCATCAGTGATATTATTCGTCTATTCAGTTCGGCAATATGAGCACGAAGATAATTCAGTTTTTCTTCGTGCACAGCTCCATCCTGTAATTAATGTATTTAGTTAATTAGCAAACAAGGTAATGAGGAGTAAACAATGTACAAATGAACTAATGATGAATGAACAAATAAGAAGTATGCATGTCAAAAAATTTGATATTTCCAAAGGTCCTTGAAAAGTTAAAAAGATTAACAAAGGAACGGAAATAAATACTACCGGAAAAATTGTCAGTTTCAAAACTACTTCAAATTCGTTTTACAATATTGAAGAATGCATGCTATTTTTAACAAATTAATTTAAAAAAAGAAAAATTATATTTAATTGTAGAATGGAAAATAAGCAAAAAAAAAAAAAAAAAAATGACAAAGTTCAATTTTTGCTTTCATTTTAGCTGCGAATAAATAAGTTCTGTTTTTTCTGACAGTTTTTAATAAAGAAATATTTCAAACAAAAAAAGACTTAAGAAATGAAAAATGGAAAGATTTGTTATAAAATGAAAACTAATTACTGAATAGAAATAATGATGAATTGCTAACCACAGGTGATAATCCACGATCTAATAAATTGCTTCGCTTTTCCACACTTTTCAAACGTTCACAGTACCAAGCAGTTAAACGTTTTGCATTTTCTAAGCCACGATTAATTATTGCTTTTTCTTCTTCTAAATAACCCTCATATTTCCACTGAAAATTTCCATTATCGTACAATATTAGTAGTAATCGTAATAATAATAATAATAATAATCCTAATATCACCAATAATAATAATAAATAATTAATAAAATAATTAATAATAATGGATGCTCTAATTATACATAATAATAAATTTTTGAAATTGATCTTAGTATACAAATATAAAAACATACTGTATATGAATTATAGAGATTTTCAAATTTCATACTAATTATTTAAACCGGAGTAGTAAAATATTCACTGTGTGGAAGAATATATAACCAAAGATAATAATTGTTTCCTTTAACAAAAATTGTTCTTATAAATGAATAAGTGATTTTGTATTTGGCAGTTTTTGTACTTTTAGTAAAATTCCATACTCATTGCTAATTGATCATTGCGCTCAATTAAGTTATAATTTCAATTATAGAAAATTTTTTTCCTTTAAAATATTTCTAGAAAAATAGGAGTATAGCAAACCATATTAGGTGATTCATGAATAAGTTGACAACTAGTTGACAGTGACGAACATGGTGAAATATGTGAATCACGCCATCTGATGTCAGTCATCCCAGATGAGGCTAAATTTATGATCGCATTTTAGAAATTTTGAACTATATACAATTAGTACTGGAGCTATATATAAGCTATTTAAAAAATGAGACATAAAAAAAATGTAAGTAAATGTTGGTTGATTATAAAATCAAATTTGCATTTTAATTTTTTTATATATTGTTGTTTCAGGAGTTGCTTATTTTAAATTATTTAAAAGTTACTTGTTTTAAATTATTATGTCAATGATTCGATTTCAAAATTTAGATCAAATCTAAACAGTATTTTTTCTTTTTTTTTTTTTTTTTTTGCAAATTCTTAATACTTCATTATTGTTTGGTAAGTGGGAATAATTTCATTAGTAATGGTAATGGTTAATAATATTTAGAAGAAATATATTCCGCTTTTTCTGACTTTAATTTCATTTGTTGCTTATTTTATTTTTTATTTTTTATTTTTTTTTTTAGTCTTTTGTTTTAGGAAAAATGCAATTATTATTTATTACTTCGGCGCAAAACTGAATAAACCAATTAGTTTACTTTTTGTTTCACAAGACATTACGTTACCTTTTTAAAAAATACTTTCCAATTAAATTTAATAAATCAAGAGAAAAAAGAGAAATATCTTACTAAGTGAGGAGGCATATAAATTAGCTGTACTCAACGGTCGATATCGTATAAACTTTTGTTGTTGCTTTTCTTGAATATCTTTTAACTAAAAAAAGGAAAACTAATTTTGCTTTTTTTTGTGTTCTAAAATATTCCTTCAATCAAATTATAAATATTATCAAAAAAGAAAGGAATAATAATAATAATGGATTATGCTAAACTAACAATGTAAGAGTAAAACCATTTATCAATGAAATAAAGTCATACAAAATTTAATATTAAAATTTTTTAATAAGTTTTAGAAATTTAAAGGAAGAGAAAATTTTGAATAATTCAATTACCAGAAAGAAAAAATTTTTAATATTTAAAGTTAACAAAAAAAAAAATTGTTTAAATAAATAACAAAATTTTATTGTTTCTAAAGAAAAAAAAACTGTTTAATTTTAAAATTCCATTACAGAATGTAATGAAAAAATTAAATAAACTTTTAAAACCTTTTTAGGTCTCATAATTACACCACAATTATCATTGCTATCCATTGCATTCATATTCCAATTTTTATTTGCTACTGCTAAATTTGAATTTATGTGTTAACTGTTGAATGCATTCCATTTAAATCCATTAATATTCCATTACATCTTCTCACGTAGCTATAAAATAGTTTATCACTAATGGTATCAGAATAGAGAAATCTCTTTTTGTTAATTAAATTAATTAATTAAAGAAATAATTAAAGAAACACATACACTCGTACTAAAATTATTAATTCTTAAACAGAAAAATTTAACTGATTAAAATCCAATTTTTCACTGCTAATCGTTGCTTAGCATCCATACAATATCAATATTATGCGTAAAGTAAGAGTGTTGCTACTGAATTAATAAGCTGATAATTTTAGGTTTCAGATTTGGATTTAATCAAATTTGAATTTAGGTTTCAGATCAGATTTGAGGTTATGAATAACAAAGAAGCGTGTTGCTGGAATAATTATCAGATATATTAATTAGAACTAAATGGCAAACATATAAGCAACGTAATAATAATTGAAAATAATTAAAAAAGAATGAATTTTTGCTGAAAAAAAATAGTAACGAGTATAATTATGGTATAAAATTTAAAATATAAAAATGTCAAATTGATTAAAATCATCTAATGAATGCAGGATGTAATCAAAATACCAAAAAATTTTCCATCAAAATATTTGATAAATTAATTTAAAATAATTTGTAGCTAATATTACTATTTTCTTTCTCAATTTTCAAATTGTTGCATATTATATTGATTATCTGAAGGCAATTGATTAAATCAAATTTCGAACAAATTGTATATTAACAATTTTTTGATCATTCTGTATAATGATAGTAATAACATAGCAATAATACTAGTAATGATAATATAGATAATAATAATAAACATTCAATAATGGTAGCACTGGTAATATTATTGCTAATTATTTCAAAATTTAATTAATAATAAATTAAGCATAATTAATGCTATTATTATAAAAAAGAAAAATAAAACCGATTAATAACATATCAATAATTAAAACAAATACAGCCAATATCAGATTAAATTCAATTAAATTACAGTCAGTATCAGATTAAAGAATTTAATGAATTTTTACGAAGTATCAGATTAAATATTAAGTATAATGAAATTTCATATATATATGAAGCTGATATTTAATAATAGAAACTAAATGAACAATGAATAAAGACGAAGTATTTGGTTGACAAAATTTGTCATAGAATGATCACCCATCACTGCTTCTCATTATCAAGGTCACTGATTATATAATGCAACAATCAGATCAACTATTTCTCCCTCCCTCTCTCTCTCTCTTCCTTGTGATGACGACAGATCATATATATTAATACTAACATCAATAATGCAATTTTGATATATTATATATCAAAATTTAATATATATTTCTTAAATATATTTCGAACTTTGTCATTTTACATATAACACGGTTATTACGTATAAACTTTTTTTTTCCTTTAAATAAAATAAAAATGTTCTTTTCATTAAAAAACATAGAAAAAAATAATAATATTAAATAAGATAATTAAATGTTTTCTTTTTTCTTTTTTTATAGAACATTTCTAAATTATGTGAAAATATGAAGTAGAAATATTAAGGAAAAAGATTTTTTGAATTGTTAAATTTCAGTTTGCTTCCCTTTTTCTTCATTAATGTAGTTATTATATTTTAAATGTTCGCTTTTTCATGAATATATTTGATATCAAATATATCGAACATAATTAAATTGTCAATAATTTAGATTAAACGATTGCTACTGATTGGCCTTGATTTACAATAAAAATTTTTTCAAAATTTTTAATAATATTTCCATTGTAAATGTATAAACAATCATTATGATTAATTAGTGCTCATAGTAGTAATTAGTTACGATGGTCAATGATGAATGGCATTTATTATAATTTAAAAACAATGCAAAAAATGTGAACCTATTATAAAATAACTTTAAATTAAATTTGAAAGGTTGTTTTATGATAGATAAAAAGGATGTAAATAATTGACAACAGCAAAAAATATGATATATGCAATTTTTTTTTTTTTTTTTTACAAATAATACGGCAATTTTTTGATAAGCAAATAACAATGTGAAGGGAAAGAATTAAAGTGAAAAGATATTAATCGTAAAACTACACACATGGGAAAGAAATATTTGAAGAAAAAATTTTTGATATGACTCATCGGATAGTATCGATATGAATCGAATTTATATCATTGAATATTTAATTGTCTGATTAAATGAATGATTTAGTTGTTGGTTAGTTCATTAGTTTTATTGTTGTATTAGAACTGCTATATTAAAATGGATAATTTATAATAAATAATTAGACTAAGAATGCATTTATTCATAAATTGCATTTCAATAGGAAAATTAATATGAGAGTATTAAAATAGGAGGAAAGTTTTAAATGATAAAGATAATTTTTGTTTTCTATTAAAAAAATATACAATAGCTGTTTTAATTTGATTAAATTACTAATAAAAATATATAATTATTTATTGGTTTATTGATATACATTAAGCTAATTGGAAATATATCAAATTATCAGATGTATATATAGAGATTTATTCAGACCCTAATAGCAAACATATAAAAATTCAAATGTAAATTGTTGTTTAAAAAAAATGATTTGAGCGAAAAATATGGAAATGTAAGTTGATGGAGTGTAATAAGCAGAGTAAATATGTATATTGAAGGGAAAATGAGCAAATTATTTGTGTGCAAATAAATGTGATAAAAAATGTATTTGGTAGGTAACATGACATTCCATAAAAATAGCGCATATTGGTATGAATCATTTATTTTTTTTAATAAAAAAGGACAATTTGCAATGAAGTATTTTTGTTAAAATAATTATTAATTTTATATTAAGATACTATATGTCTATAGTTTAGTTTAATTAAATCACTTAAACAAAAAGAAAAACTGATAATAATGATAAATAAATACACATTTAAAAAAAAAAAAACAAACAAACAAATATGAAACATTTAATTATGAAAACTAAATTAACTAGTGAAATATTTTAATTTCTACAAAATATACTTGACAAAATAATGATCATCTTTCAAATATCATTCAAAAAATTTCAAAAAATATTTTATAGAGTTTGTAAAACATTTAATATCGAATAAAATGATGAAATAATTTCTTACTTATCACTCGAATAAGTTTGCTTTTTCTCTACAAAGTTTGTCATAAGTAATTGAATTGAAAAGCACTAAACAAAATAAATGATAAGATTGTATTGAAATAAATGTTCAAAACAGAAAACAAATAGAATTTCAAAATTTTTTTATAAATGTCAAATTAAAATTTGCATATTTCATTCAGTAAACAATTAATGATACTTCAACGGTACTTTAAATGAAAAGGTGTACAGAACAGTAGTGGATTTTCAATTTCAACAAATACTTTACTGTTTACCTATTTGACTAGCATTAAATCTCATCCTTGTTCTTATACATCTTTAACCTTAACCGTTAAATATTTATCTAAACATCAACAGCAGTAGCAAACAACAACAACAACAACAACACCAACAGCAACAAAGACACAATTATCAACAGCATCATTAATAAAGAACGCAATCAACAACAACAGCAAGAACAAACGTCAACAGCTACAACCACCACCATCACCACCAACAAAACAAACAGCAACAACAGTAAACAACAACAATCTTCTTTTTAATAAACATTATATGAATATAGTAACTTATTATTAGAGTTAACCTATATTTCTTCGCATATTCACAAACCACTATAAATTGATCTTTTTTTTTTTTTTCATATGTAAACAGATATGTACAACAAATAGTGTACACTCATAACAGTCTATACACATACACATACACACACAGACATACATATATGTAAAAGACACACAAACAAACATGTTTGCGCCAATTTTGTCATCGGTAGGTGACAAGCTGGGGTTATTCAGGAAGACGAAGTATTCGATGAACCAACTGATATGCATTTGTTGCTGATGGCAATGAGTAGTGATTATTTGAATGAAATGATGCGTATATTAGAGGAAATGGGTTTTCATTACAAATATACAACAAAATTTGCATAACAGAATAGTTCATAGACGGAAATAATTTATTTGATTTATCACTGAATAATTGTTGCATTTTACTGTGGATTTTTTACATGCACAAATGTTTACATAAATAAATAATGATAGAAATTAAAAAGTTATCATTATAATTACATAATCATATCATTATTTCTCTACATTTGCATTATTAATTTGTATATTGAATTATTTTTATTAGCTGTTCCTATGCATTTTATTAAATGTTCATATAATTAATAAACAAATAATAAAAAATAAAGAGTTATCATTATAATTAAACACATCATTATTTCTCTATATTCGCGCAATTAATTCGTATATTCGTATAATTATTTGAAACTAAAATGTTTATTTAAAAAAAGAAATAGAATTAAATAATGATAAAAAATAAAGAGTTACAATTATAATTGCATACTCGTATCACTGTTTTTCTATATTCGCATAATTAATTCGTATGTTTAATTGAGTCAGTTAAATATTCCTCTATATTTTAGGAAACATTCATTAATTAATCAAATTTTTGTGTAATTAATTTCATTAAATATACATATTATATTTCGATAATCGTATAATTAACTAAATATTCGTATATCTGATTTATTTTTTCGGCATAATTAAAGTAAATTTTATGTGAAATTTACAAATGATTATAAACGTTTTTTTTTTTTTTTTTTGTTTTAGAGGAAACAGAAATATTAAAAAAGAAAAGAAATGAAAAATACCAATTGTGATTTCATAGCAGCTATCAATCAAACAAAATTAGATTAGTATATCAAAAATTAAGCAATCAAAAAATGTAAGATTATGTAACAATTCATACAAAATATTAATGAATTCAATAAAATATATTAATAATTCCATCTAAAATATTGTTTTATGTGATTTAAACTTTTAAAATCTTCAAAATTTCAACATAAATATTAT